AAGAGACGGTCCAGGAGTTGATGGAGCCGCCGACGAGGTACTCCTTGGCGGCGGAGAGCCCACAGAGGAGGAAGAGGAGGGAGACGGAGAAGTAGAGGGAGGCAGCAGCCATTCCGAGAGAGAGGGAGATGGATCAGTAGAGTTAGAGAGAGAGAGGGCGATGGATAGGTGGGGTCTGAGAGAAAAGGGTACAGTGTAGAGAGAGAGAATGAGAGAGCGAATGCGGAGAGGGAAGGGCCTCTTGGTCTCTTATAGAAGAAGCTGGGGGTGCCCGAGGGCGGGTAACTAGCCGTTGAGCCTGGCTGGTGGCCAGCGAAAGCTGCCGTCTCGAACCGGGCGTCGAATTCGCGGAGCTAGCCGTTAGGCTTGATCCCAGCCTTGCATATATATTATAAATATTTATAATAATAAAATGTATTTTAGAACAAGGGGATGTAGCTCAGATGGTAGAGTGCTCGCTTAGCATGCGAGAAGTACGGGGATCGATACCCCGCATCTCCATTATTTTTATCTCTTTCACACGCGTGGTGCGTGTGTTCTTTCTCTGCCCATGAGACCCCTCCCTTGAAGTCGTGAGAAAAACCATGTGAGACCTCCGAGAAGGGCACCCACCACGTCTTCTTCTTCTCTCCCTGTTCATCTCCTCAGTGAAAGTCATTCACACATACGTGCACACAAAGAAGAACTTCCATTAAAGAATCAATAAATCTCACAGTTTCCACCTCTTTTTTCTTTTACAGTCCCTCTCTGCATAAACCTGAGCAAGATCATGGCTTTCTAGCCCAGATGCTCTCAGCGAACAAGAATATTACATGCTGTTCCAACCCAAGAGGGAAAAATGAATTGGGGGGGTGGTGGGTTGTTGAATCTTTCCCGTGAGGAAGTTCTAAGCAGACCCATCAACCCTTTCTTTCTCCAAACCATGGAGAATCTGTGAATGTAGCTTAGAACGCATCAATCAGATTCAGGGCTCTGAAGAAGGCTTCATCTTTCTGATTCGAGAGGTGTTGACTCCTTCAAGGGAACCACTGAGACTTCTTGAGGCCTCATCCTTCTCCCAGATCATGCAGAATCTGTGCCACCAGGATGTCCACCCAGGTGTCGGGCACTCCAGGGAGGCACCAGTGGAGGCAGTCCTGGCCCCAAATCTTGACTGCGTCCCTCTTCCCCAGCCAGATGGCCGGGTGGGCGTCGGCCCTGAACTCGCTCAGATAAGTGATGTTCAGGAGATGAATGTCTGTGCCTTGTAGAGCTTGCTGGATCAAATGGTTCACCTCTCTCGCTTCCTTGTTCACTCCTCTGTTCCTCGGATCAAACCAGGCATCGAGCTGTCTAGATGGGTCAGCTTTCACTCCCCAAACGAGAAAAATAATGAGCAATGAATTCCATGCTGTTGTGTTATACCTGGTCTTCTTTGATGGGTTTCTTGAACAAGCAGCTGCCGTTCTGATTCCATTCACCACCATAAAAATGGCGGGGAGACTGTGACCGCCAGAACTTGAGAGTTCTCCGAGGAACCTCCCTCCCTATGTAGCCAACCGTATGGTTGAGGACCACCTCGAGGCCTTCCAATATGCTGAGTGGAGGAACCATGGGCTCTCCATCTTTGTAGAACACGAGTGGCGTCTCTTTTGGGAATTTATCAGGGCCCCACCTGGTGCAGGAGGGGAGGGAAAGCCCTTATTTTTATTAATCCCAGGGAAAAACCAGCAAAAAAAAGAAGAAGCTTTTTAAGCATTTCTGAAGATTTTCTGGGTACATGATAAAAATCATATTCATTTCTTGTGAGATTGAGAGAAGAAATTGAGCTGGAACAGCTTCCTTGAATAGAAAAGAATTCAATATTCAGTCATGGAAAAAAAAGGGTACCGCAGCTGTACATTAATATGAAGCACAGACATATGATGAATAGGAAAAATACGAATAAGGTTTATAGTTGGCGTCATGCCTATTGACCGAAATGGTCAACAAGCCTCCCAGTCATAGGCTGATGAGAACCACTGATCTATTAGGATACCCCATAACCCAAAATGCACCAAAAGGTTATAATTTTACTCAGAATGGATAGATTTGCCTAGATATCAGCTGAATAACCATTCTTCCCCCTCTTGATTCTGGGCATAATATACCCAAGAAAAGCTATGTAAGGTGGCTCCGAATTAGCTCTCTGTCAAAGCCAAAAAGATGCTCATCTCTCATACAAACCTTGACGGCCGGCTATTTCAATGGTCAGAAAAGGCCGCTCTCATCTTGGCATAGCTATTTCGAATTATTTCAGCGGTTACATGGTTGAGCCATAATCTATGAGCCTAATAGGATAATTTGCTGTGATATCACGCAATGTATGATGCAATAATGATTTCCAAAGTTAACCACGAATGATGGGAAGCCTATGCCTTGATATCTTGGCTTATTAAGACAACCACATAGGAAATTAAGTGTTCAACGGAGAAGCTATGTTCCATGAAAAAAAAAACAAAAAAAAGGGATGCTGCAAAGTTAGAAGCCCAGTAGAAACCGCCCCAGTGATGGTCCATACATCATGGATCAAGTTATAGAAAGAAATTGATGGAATCCATTCTGACAAGAAAAGGCGAAGAGGGTCTTACCAGTGCCCGGTGTTAAACACCAGAACATCATAGAAGCTGGTAACGTTGGCCCAGTCACCAGCAGGAACATCTACATCGACCCTATAGAACCCCTTCACTTCACTCTTGCTTCCAGAGGTTAAGCCTTCAGCAGGCTGCCACCTTTATGTGATAAATAATCAGTCTAAAGATTTCCCCATAGATGAACAAGGTTCCATATTTACTTTTAACACACATGATTCTTGCGAATTTTCAAGAAAAAAAGATCTGGATTGAAAAATGCTATGCAGAGGACAAGATCATGGCGAAATTTCTGCAGTTTATTCGTGAATTTTTGGATTCATGGGGTGGTTTTGCCTCTGTGATTGAGGGATTGTGACGAACCCAAGGACTTACCGATATCTAGAGAGCAACACAGCGCGGTGGTAAGCGACAGTGACATCGAAATGGGGGAAGTAGCCGCCTTTCCATGCCCCCTTCTTCTTCCATTTCCTCGCATCTCCGTCCGCGGACCAGAGGGTGCAGAGGAAGGAGACCACGAAATTCTCGTTGAGGGAATCGCCGACGAACCCTATCCGGCGGCCTCTCATGGCAGACAAGAAGGCCGCCGGATCGAATCCGACCTTCGGAGGAGATGCAGCTTCAGAGACGCAGGTCTCCGGGATCCAGACCCAAGAATTGATCCCCTCCATCCCCTCCCTTCCGTTCCTTAGGCAGTTCCAGGCATTGCGGTGGAAGGGGCAGCTCCCGTTGTACCGGAGCGGCCTGCGGCCCCTCGCCCACTGCCCTCGCGAGGGCTCGCAGTCACGACGGAGATGAGGAACCGTCGAGGATTTGCCATGGCGCTGCTGCATGGCCGGGGGGAAGAAATTGAGGAGAGGATATCGACCGTAGAGCTGGAGATGCGCGAGGAAGACCATGCCGAGGAAAACCAGAGGGAGGAGGACGACGGTGAGTACACAGGGGGAGAAAGGTCGCGCTGAGGGACGAGGAGGAGGAGGCTTCCTCCACGGCCGCTCCATCTCCGCTACGCTCTCCCCAGCATCAGCAGAGCAGATCGGCGGCGCCGCCGGCCGAATTCCCCGTCCCTCGCCATTTCCTCTGCTCCACCGGTAGAAACTATTTGAGATCCCCTCCAAGAACAATGGAAATTATTTTTTTATTTCAAAAATTTTCAAAAATATTATATCGTAATTACCTAATTAGTCAACTAAATTAATATTATCTAGTTTATGAAAATAGGAAGAAATCGTGTTTTATTTAATAAATATTTTTCAGATATTTAAATGGTTATTTCTGTTTATATGTATATTATTATTATTATTTAAATTCTTTTGGGCAGTTAAATAGCAGTTGTGAGAACCTTTCCTGGAGCTCGAGGAGAGTGGGAGATCGGAGCAGGGCTGCGGATTCGGGAGGAAGCGAAGGGGCTTTGCGAGGATGGTGGGGGCGAACCTGAAGGCGGAGACGATCTCTCTGATGGACCAGAGGGCCTCGATTGAAGCGCAGATGAATGCGATCATCGACCGCCTCTCCCAACCCGGTGGCCCGGGAATCACCGGCAATCTTCTTGATCCCGAGGTAGGAGTTGCTCTTCCTCCCGATTGTTCTTCTTCTTCTAGGGGATAATCTTCGAGATGCTGGATTCACTTGCTGCTGGTCGCGATGCGTGCAGGGATTTCCGCGGCCAGATATCGATATTCCTGCCATCCGGTCGGACCGTCGTCGGCTTGCTGGTGAGGGAGTCGATCTGAAATATGTTCATCTCATCCTTTGGGTGTTTCTGTAGCTCTATAAACTATTATTGAGCTGTCTCTTTGCTCGTATCTCATTCATCAGTATGTTGTCTCTTTGCCTGTCGCTTTTTTGGTTTTACGATAATTTTTTGGAGTTCTTGTGGCGTGGCTTCGGTATTCTCGAAGTATGTGAGATATATTCCTCATAAAAAAAAAATTCAGTAGACTCGGTTGGTCTGTCAGGTCATGCTGCCAAGTATTTCCTACAGATTCGCGCATGATAACATTTTCTGAGTCAGTAGTTTGCCTGGTTGCTTATCATGCATACTCTTGTCGATCTCTTTGCGATTGTATCAATTGATTCTCTCTGGATCAGAAACCAGGAATTTACTTAGGTCCAACAGTCGTGTTCCTCCTGAAGCAATTAACTTTCTACATGCAGTATATTTCCTCTTGAAAATACCAAGCTGAGCATTAAGCTAATGTGACGCTTGAGTCTCTTGGCGATATGTTTCTATCTACTTGCGCTTTTCAACCTTTTCAAAATGACGAAGTAAACTTCAAGCTGATAGGATGATTGCCAATGAATTATAATTTCCTGCCAGAATGGTAGTTGTTACTAATTAATAGTTCACGGGGTTCTCAGTTAATATTTTCTCTTATCTCAATTGTTCAGAACTTCGCAGTGACCACAAAAACCTGACAAACAGAATAGATCAGAACTTACAAGTATTGCATTCTGGAAAACTGAGTCAGAACACGTCAAGTCATACAAGAGATTCAGGTATGGACAAATCAATATCTAGCATCGTTAATAGCTGTCTGTCTTATCCGTTTCCGTTTGTGTACCATCTTCTGATTCTTTATGTAAATGCTGTTATGACTGGTCGTTAATATTTTCTTGTCAGAGTATATGCTTCACATTTAATTGTTAATTAGTATACTGTTCTTGAATCATCTTAAATTATTTTATGGATTTATTAGGATAAACTGTCTTCAGAGTCATGTGACTAGCATATGCTTGACCTCATTTGTCTCACAACCTCAATGATATATAGGTTTCCTTGCTCCAAAAATGTAACCAGTCTGTTGATTATAAGCACTGCTTCAGATGCTTGGCATATTTGCGTATTAGTGGTATCTCTCGAATTAAGCCGATTACTGTGTGAATATTACATAAAAGGGAAGCCTAGAGTTTGAGCAGCTTGAGTAATCCGCGCGTCTCCCTATATATATGTGAATGGACCACTGAAAGGACAGAGGCATCAGGGATAGGATAAGGTTGTCTACTTCAGGACTTGACTCCTACGGAGGGAAACTGAGTGTGGCATGGAAAGTCGCAGCATATTGGCCACCTTAACTGACAATAGTCTCAGCTAATTGAGCAACTAGTCATCGATCAAGAATCAACCTTCAAACCTCATTCACAGTAAAATATGAGAGAGAGTGAGAACTTAAGAGAGGGAGAGGGAGAGAGAGAGAGAAGGTGCTTCTTTTAGGGAAGTCAATGGGACTCAAGACCTTTATCTGGGCTTATACCGAGTGAATAGAGAAGGGGAACAACTCTAAATTCATTAACGGATTCAATTCTTAAAAAAGAAAATCATCACGGACCATTTGAGTAACAGAAAAGAAAACCCTTATGAAAATTGAATATCTTCATCCAATAGATATACGACAGATAGTGGACATTCTACAGAAGCATTTCACAGTTAGTTTCTTTGAACTGGGGTTTATTCTTTTTTTAAGTAGGTACGCAACTGAACCAGAAATTTCCTTACCTCTCCAATTTCTAACGGATCAAGATAATCCACTTGCTCCAGTATAAATAGTACCTATCTGTTCTTCCACCCCAAGAGGGGCAGATTGGAAATCTTCCCCCGCCCTTCCCACAAATGGAGAATAGATTCACAGGAAACCGGAAAGGTGAGGAGAAAATAGCCCAAAAGAAATGAAATAGCAACGAAGTGGGAGATTCAAACAGAGTAATCTTAGTGGCCCATAAGGCCCAAACGCATTTTATTTTCGTTGCCTAGGTAATTATTTAGGAAATATTATCTGTAAGTAAAAAAAAAATTTAATCAGATCATATTACAGATGAAGACCGGTTTTCTGAACCCAGGAAAATATTTTCAGTTTTTCTCTTTGCTTTCGGATTCAACGGACTTTTGGTCCTTGTGATATCCGAATCTGAATAAAAACCCAATAACCATACATCTCGTCATCTATCATTCTCGATCGTCACCCAAATAATTTCCTCAATTTGCTTTCATAGTTATGAAATTACCATGCAAAATCTGAAGAATGCTACTTCTTTTCACCACATACGTTGTGTTGTGATATAGAAATGCTCTTTCACGTACGATAATCATGGATCCGCCATTGCCCGTACAGACGCCATGGCCCGAGCTTCCTCCCGTCCCGACGGATCGACTCAAGCTTCGGGAGCCACGATGGACGAGGATTCCTTCCTGGGCGTCCCTTTCGCCACGATAGACGAGATAATCGAGGACTCCCCGGCTGCACAAGATGGGTTGCGGATGGGCGATCTGGTGGTCAAGTTCGGGGACGTGGTGATGGGTGACGAGCTTCTTCCGAGGCTTGCTTCCGAGGCACAATCGAACCAGGGGAATCCGGTGCCGGTGGGTATCATGCGCCAGGGCTCGCCAATGACGTTGACTGTGACACCCAGACAGTGGCACGGCCGCGGCCTCCTCGGGTACGTTACCCTTCCTCTTCCTTTTCTCTTTCATTCATTCATTTATTCATTCATTTATTCATTCATTTATTCATTTATTCGTTGGTTTTCCTTTCTCTTTGCTGCCGTTAGCTTCTTTGTTCTTCTGATGGATGGGTAGCATTCCTGGGGGGGTTGACTATTGACAAAGTTTCTTTTTTCTTTACTGCTGCCGTAAGCTTCTTCCTTCTTCTGATGGATAGGTGGCGTTCCTGGGGGGGTTGACTATTAACAAAGTCTCTTTTTTCTTTTCTGCCCTAAGCTTCTTCCCTCTTCTGATGGATGGGTAGCATTCCTGGGGGGGGGTTGACTATTAACAAAGTCTCTTTTTTCTTGCCTGCTGCCGTAAGCTTCTTCCTTCTTCTGATGGATGGGTGGCGTTCCTGGGGGGGTTGACTATTAGTAAGGTCTCTTTTATCTTTACTGCCGTTAGCTTCTTCCTTCTTCTGATGGATGGGTGACATTCCTTGGGGGGGTTGACTATTAATGAGGTCTCTTTTTTCTTTACTGCCATTAGCTTCTTCCTTCTTCTGATGCATGGGTGACATTCCTTGAGGGGGTTGACTATTAATAAGGTGTCTTTTTTCTTTACTGCTGCTGCAAGCTTCTTCCTTCTTCTAATGGATGGGTGGCGTTCCTGGGGGGGTTGACTATTTATTAACAAAGTCTCTGCTCATTTTATTCGCAGGTGCCACTTCCGGATCCTATGAGGGTCGGTCTCCTCCCTCCCTAGATCCTCAGAGTCGGGTTCTTCGTGGCGATCAACTCCTCCCCCTCAGATGTCGGAGTTCCAGTTCCATCCCACAGTACGCTGACTTTAAACGTGCGCTGACTTTACTCACCAAGTGTGCGTTTGTGGTGTGAGTCGCCCTGGTCAAGCCAAATCGATAGATATTTCACCACGAAACAGTTGTTCCTCCACTTTCCATCAATAGAGCGACGAGTGACGGGATTTCTGAGGGAGTACAAACACGGATGGATCCTCTGAAAGGGCTGTACATAGAAAATGGAGCATCTTCCGTCGGCGCCGTCGGTAGAGAAGGAGAGGCCTCCACCAGCTCTTCAGGAATTCTGAACGGAGACCGCCGCCCCCGGCCGGTGCTTGTCAAACAGCGGCCTGGCGGCGCCGCCGTCCCAGCTTCCCCGCCCGTCGTCCCCCTCCGCCGCGGGCCCGAACCCAATACTGAGCAGCGTCTGCGCCGATTCCAGTGACCCGTCGCCGGCGCCGGAGCCGGCTGTGCCGGGGCTGGCGGGTCGGGCGGCGCGGTCCCCGGCCTCTATGGCGGCGGCGGCGGCGACTAGCAGGTCGGCGGCGGGAGGTGGGTGACCGGCGGCGGCGGTGGCGGTCTTCGGCGGTGGGAGGTCATGGTTGTGCTTGCCCTCGTAGTTTATGATCACCGCCCTCTCATCGGTGGAGTCCTTCTCTACGTGCTTTCTGGCGGGGCAACCCAGCTGCGTGCACCGGTAGTAGCTCCTGCAAGAACAGGTCACGTAGAACTGTGTCACCGATCTATCCGCCAGGAGAGGACAAAGAAGAAGAAGAAGAAGACGATGACGATGACGAAGCGGGTCAACCACTTTGACCCCGACCCAAATCCTGAAAGTCTCCTCTAGGTTCGGTCCCCATCTATGAGGAATCCTGGGTCAACGTCATTCTCCTCTACTTCACCAGCGGCCATAAGTTAGGTCCGTGCTACTGTGATTTCATCTCCCATTCCCCAGAAGAACAAGAAAAAGAAGGAAGAGGGTCGACTGTCTTGCCTCCATTCTCTGACAGAGTCAAACCCTGAAAGTCAACACACATGGCGGCAAAAACCATGCATTTGCTCTCCTCATCATGTTTTTTTTTATCAAACTATGCAAGCATCAACCGAGATGAAGGAAAATCGCAGCAAAATCGCATCAACAGGCAAAACAAATGAGCAAGAGATCAAAGAAGAAGGATGACGAACCTCGGATTAGGGTTTCCCTTGACGATTTTCTGGCCGTACTTTCTCCATCTGTAGCCATCACTCAGAGACCCTGATTCAGATGTCGTCTGCCTGATAATCTTTGGCTCCTTGACCGTTTTGAACACAGGCGATGGGCTCGCCTTCGGCCTCTCCAGGAGCCTGCACCAGGGAGGGATGAGCATGTTGCAGACATTGCAGAAGAGAAGAAGAAGAAGAAGGGATGATTAGGTCAGCGGAAGATTTCAACCTTCGCTTGAGATCGGGCTCTTCCCCGAGGCTTCCTCTGGCTTTCACGTCTGCGTCGGCTTCACAGTCGCTGGAGCAATGCACCCGTTTGAGACCTCCATCGCCGTCGGCATTTGGGTCAGCTTTCAGGGGAGAAGGCTCTGCTCGACCAGCTTTTCCATTTGCAGGGGCGGAGCTTTCATGGTCTGCAGATGGGGCGCCCGGCAGAGACCTCCTCTCTTTCGAGAATCTAGCCTTCTGGGGAGGATGGTGGTTGTGGCCACCTCGGTAGATTACTTCCAGCACATGGCCGTCCTGGCGGTGCTCGACCTTCTTCTTCGCCGAGCAGCTGGCGTAGGTGCATTTGTAGTAGCTCCGGGAGCTCTCACTGCCCTTCACCTGCTTCTGCCCGTACTTGCGCCAGTTGAACCCATCGCCCGAGCTTTTCATGGGGGCATTCTGAACAGATTCAGTCTTCTGATCAGACCGCTGCTCTCGATCCCCTTCTTGGGATGCTGCGGGTGGCTTCTCCTCCGACGCTGGGGCAGGAGAGATGGGGGCTGCATACCCTGTCTGGAGCTGCATCTGTGCCTGAGCTGTGACCGTCGCCAGGACTGCTTGTTGTGCCATGGCGAACTGGCTCTGAGAATCGAACTGTTTTACGTATGCATCATACGAGAAGAGGAATCATCAGAAGCAGAACATTTTTCTCCAGAAAAATCAAAGATCATTTGATTAGATGGCGTTGATCGTAGAGTATTTTGCTTCATTCCCAATCTGTTCAAGGTTACGCGGAGTATGCAGATGTCGAGGGTCAGATGAGGGGGGAAAGAGGGATCACAAACCGGGAATCCAGATGGCTCGAGCAACGCGGCGGGCGCGATGAAGCACGGGACCGCGACGACGGGGAGCCTCACGGCATCGACAGGCACGGAGACGACCGGAGTGGCGGCGGAGGAATTCACCAGAGCCGGCGCCGCGGCGGCGGGGAGGCGCTTGGAGGAGGATCGGCGCTCGCCGCTGTCGTCACCTCCGCCATCGGACGATGCGCTGGAATTATCAGCGGCGGCCGCGGGGACAGCGAGGGTTTCCGGGGCAGAAACCTCGACCTCAACTCCTTTCCCCGGGGAAGAGGGGGAAGAAGGGGAAGAGGCCGCGGGATCGGGGGAGGAGCCAGGAGCACAGGTCACAGGAGAGGAAGGAGTGCTTTCTGACTTCGGCCGCGCCACCACCGCCGCGGCCGCGGCCGCCGCCGACGCTGACGACGCCGGAGGAGGAAGAGGCTTCTCTCCCTCTAACTCGAGCCTTTCCGGCAGAGACAGAGCTTCCGAGCTCGGCACTTCCGCCATCGCCGTGAGCTTCCAGAAGCTGCGGCGCAGAGAGGAGGGTTTCGCCTTTCAGGGCCCGAAAACGGGAGAGATGAGGAAGAAGACGGCATTCTCTACCCTTTTGACCACTATTTGACCAGACCATTTGACGGCGTCAGGTCTTCCGTTAGGGGACTGCCGACCTGAACTCACCGCCAACGAAGACGACGTGGGCTTAGGGAAATCGACGCCGTTTGCGGTTGGGTTTGACCGTCTAGTCCAAGATGACAGAGAGGGCGGCGGAATTTATCGCGTCAACTCCCCTTTTCTCCCTGCGAAATATCGGGTGACCGTCCAGTTTTCTCGTGACCTCGGGGAGATCTCAGCCGTCCGATCCGGACGCAGGTGTGGTGTGTGCGACCGCTGGATACAAACCTCCCCACGGCATTTTTTCGAGGGCTGTGCTTTTACTTATATACCCAAATACATTTAAATTTCAAAATATCTAACAACTACATATATTTACTAATATACCCTCACTTTTAACCGCCCTTGAAATAAAAAAAGATATTTTATTCATATTCTTTTCAAAAAAAATACCCCCCCCTCAACCTACACGAAGACCAAGTCAACCCCTCCAAAAGCCCCCACCTAATCCCCCCACTATGTACAATGTTTGACTTTGGATACCAGGGTCAACTATCCAAATGTCTCATCTCTATGATAACCCTCAATATGCATGTTCTTGGAATAATTGGTCTGATTTATTTCAGTTAATTTTTCTGACAAAAAAAACCTTTTTTTATTTTATAAGGGGCTAATTATTTTATTTTATTTTCAGTGGAATTTTATCCAATAAAAAATCAATATGTTTCTCTTTGTGCACCATACCTATAAATAGAGAGAGAGAGAGAGAGAGAGAGAGAGAGAGAGAGAGAGGGGTTCCATGCAAACTTTGACTTTCATATCAAATTATAGGATCCTATGATCGGAGCTTCGGTAATCAACGCACGCAAATCTTCGACCCGGGGTGGAGTAGAGGAAAATATGATATTTACGAGAAAAAATATTTCGATCTCTTTAATTGTCAAACTGCCACGGTTTTTTACATTGAGGCCCCCAACTGGTTATTTTGCTGATTAGTACGCATTTATGATTTGGGGCTCATTTATATCCCCACCCCCGAGGTCACGGGCCGCGCGTGATCGCCCCGGGGATCGAGGAGGCAGCCGTTTCAGTCGAGGGGAGAATTTATGGGGCCCACGGATCCACCCCGATTTAAAATACTCCAGAGTGGTTCCGATCCTCAAGATCATTCCAAAAATAGTAATATAAAAGAACATAAATAAATAATAAATATTTATTTTTTTAAAAAAATAAATTAAATTAATTTTATTAGATCAGGTCTCGCCACTTGTTTCCTGCGTGGATTCGATTTCTGGGGATGAGAGAGGAAGATCCGAGCTGGGTTTTTCGTGATCTTTCGCGGGGATCGGTCTGAATATGATCTTGATCTTGAAAGTTTGACCTGGCGTCTGAAGGTGTGTTTATGGCGGCAGCTGGGCGCAGCTGGCGCCGCCTCGTCTCCGGCGATCTTTCCATTTTTGGTCCTCTGGAGGAAAGCGCTTCACTGCCCCACCCCCCCTGAGAGGAACACGAAGGTGGCAATTTTTGCGCCGCCGCCGGAGGAAGGATCGCCGGTGGCGGAGCTCCGGTTACCGGCGGCCGAGGAGAGGGATGCTTATATCGGACATCCTCCGTGAGCAGGAAGACGATGAGCTTTGCTACCAAAGGGGGAGAGAGAGGAGGAGGAGGATGAAGAAGACGAGGATCCATCTCCCTTCTTTCCGGTGGCTTCCCCTGAGGAGTTTTCTCCGGTACCAGAGCTCCGCTCCGCCGCCAGCGGCGGCGGTGGAAGAAGGTAAGATCAAGGTTTCCGATGGCCTCGTCCTCTGTTCTGAAGATCATCTCTCTCATGTGATCTCATCTCCCACGCTGCTGCTGTCTGTGATTCATCTTCTCAGGGAGGAACCCTAGAGAGAGGGTTCATCTCGGCGTCGGCATGGGGGCGGGTCTGGTGATGCTGCTGACCAGAAGCAGCTCCGAATTCAGGAAGATGGCAGCGCTGAGGAAGGAGATGGAGTCGCTGATGGAGGACTGCAAGACGGCGATTCAGAAGAACAGTCAGAATCCCAATCCCAATCTCACCTCCTGCGGCGGGTCCGATTCACGGGCTGAGACAGAGCAGAGCAATCTCACCGACGATGCCTCCCATGGCGGCGACGCCGAGCGCTGGAGAAGAAGAAGGCCGCTCATGAGAGAGGAGATGGAGGCGGAGCTCGAATCGGAACTGGAGCTTCTGCACATCAACCTAGTGAAGCAGGAGGTGAAAATCCTGTTCTAGGGTTTTGATTCCGCCATTGTTTCTCCGACTTATCTTCTGGTTTCCATCAATGACAGGTCTCCGGCGAGGGATCGGCGCCTTACGGGAGCTCCACCGCAGGCCTCGAATCAGAAGAGCAAGGAGAGGAGGAGGAAGGGGAAGAAAAAGCCGTTGTGGAGATCGCCGGAGTTTCCCCTCGCGCATTGACCAGGAAACTCCATGAGCTCCTGGAGAGGAGACAGCAGGAGCGCATCGAAGAACTGGAGTCCGACCTGGAGCTCGCCCGCGCCAAGCTCCGGGAGAAGGAGATGGAGATCTCCCTGTGGAGGGAGACGGCTCGAGTTGTGTCGCAGAGAGCAGTGAGCCACACTCAGAGGATCATCTGACGACTGGAGGTGGAAGACGCAGAGGAATCCGATGAGAGAGAGAGAGGGATTTTCCCGCCAACCCCCTTTAGGTACGTAGTGTGGCTCTGGGCCTATTTAATACTGGCCCATATTGTGGAAGGCCCATATGCCATTTATGTGCTCATATCGGCCCAATAAAACCCAACGACGTTCGGAAGCATACGTGCAAGTGTATTAAGTAAATGGGCCAGAAAGTCTAAAAGGTCAGCCTACTAAAAAGGATATTTATCGGTTAGTTCGATAAGGACTTGTCGGCCCAGCCCTATCCCATCCAGCCCAATAAAGCCAAGCCCATGTTCGTTGCCTCCTGCAATGGACAGTTTAAATGGGCCATAAGTAGAGAGCCCACTAGTTAAGAGGATACTTATAGGTGATTTCGATAATGTTATCCTTTAATGCCGATTTGTCTTCGGCCCTACCCCACATAAGGGCCCAATAAAAGCCCATTAATGGGCCGACGAATAAGAGGATAACTATCGGTATCATCGATAGAATTATCCTTTAATACCAATTTTGACTTTCCGGGAAGGAAGAAGAAACCAACCCCCCTCCCCCCCCCCCTCCATCGTCTTCTTCCTCTCCGCGTACCAGTCAAACACTGCGTCTTGCTCGATCCGAGGCTGCTGTAGACCTAGACGAAGCTCTCGGGGGGATCTATTCCCCTTCTCCTGCAGAAGACCATGCGTCAGGAGGAAGGAGAAATGGGGCCGACGATGGGCTCCGCCGTGGAACCGTCTTCGGAGGTCCAGAACGGGCTGCCGCGGATGGAGAATTCTGATCTCAAGCAGGTGGATCATCCCTCTTCCTCTTCGCAGGAAGATTTTTACACTCAGATGCTGTCTGGTCTCGCCTGGGAGGAGTTGAATCGAGGGAACATCAAGCCTCCCTGGGAGCCAGCGGCGGCGGATGGTGGTGATGGATCGGATTCCGGCGGCCAGAAGATCTTTGGTCTCTCTTCTGCCTGGGGCGATCAGTGGACGGGTAGCGACGAGCTCCAGTACCTGGCCTCCCATGCCGAGCCGGGGGTAATGGCACCGCAGTTGCAGGAGCAGGGGATCATCGGAGGTGGTGGTTCAACGCCGTCGGAGATCTCTCGAGTCTTCCAGCGCAGCAATGGCTATGAACAGCAGCGCATGCTGCTTCCGGTGACGGCGAAATCCATCGCCGCCGGCGATCTAGGTTTTCTTCCGTTGCCGCTATCACAAGGTGGCAGTGATTCTGCCGATTCGAGACTTATCGCCAGACGATCTAGGGATGATGATGCCGATCTCTGCTTCAGATCTCCCAATTCCTCGGTACGCTTCTCGATGATTCCTACCATCCTCTCCCCTCTCTCTCTCTCTCTCTCTCTATTTCACTCCTGTAAATTCTCCGTCGCCTTTTCTAGCTCTGCGGTGGCTTCAGCGGATCCCTTCAGCAGGAAATCCAGACGGCCGCGAGGAACCCTCAGGTATCTGCAACCTCCGCTTCTCTTCCATTGCTGGATGGCGGAGGCCGGAATCAGGTGTCTGGTTTTCCACCAGTAAATGCTCATCTTCAGGTTCTTCCAACACCGGCGCCGTACAACGGCGGAGCTCCGGCGGCGGGGACTGGGCAGACGGCGGCGCCGCCGAGGCAGAGAGTGAGGGCGAAGAGAGGCCAGGCCACCGATCCCCACAGCATCGCCGAGAGGGTAAACCGAACCAGCAAGCTCTTCCGACGACCTCAATCCATCTCCTGTGAAAATTCCTTGTGAGGAGGAGCTCATATGTTCTCTCTGGCGCTGACTTCTTGTCCCCCAGCTGCGCCGGGAGAGGATCGCCGAGAGGATGAAGGCTCTGCAAGAACTGGTCCCGAACCCCAACAAGGTCCTGATCCCCCCCCCTCCCCCCCCTCTCTCTCTCTCTCTCTCTCTCTCTCTTTCTCCAGCTCTCAATTCATTCAGACTCAGCTTTCAATAAAGCACACCAAGAACAGATTGATTTTTTTTTCCAAAAATCGCGGAAATAGTCTCCTCATTATTCCACTTGATTTCCAGTTTTCTTGCAGAATAATCTCAATGCATGAACCTCTTGAATATTTTCCATAATTTCAACAGGTTTTCATCTCATCTCAAGCAAAAAAAGAAAAAAAAACTGAAGATTTACAGAACCCATTATTCCTTGCGTTCATAATTAGAAATTATTTCTGGATTCATGACTCTTTTTTAAAATGATAAAATAAAAAAATAAAACTCTGAGGAATTAATGGGTTTTCGGGAGTGTGACAGACGGACAAGGCGTCAATGCTTGACGAGATCATCGACTACATCAAGTTCCTACAGCTCCAAGTCAAGGTAACTCTCTCTCTCTCTCTTCCTCTCAGATTCACTCACAAAACTGCGAATGTATGCGCATATTAATTCATTATTTGGTTAATTAATTGATTAATTGATTAAAAGAGTGTAGAGTAAGATCCGCCACGGGTGTTGTGGGCTTGTGCAGGTGATGAGTATGAGCAGATTGGGAACGGCGGCGGCGGCGGCAGATACGCCTCCGCCATCAGAGGTGAGCCCTCATCTTCCCCATGGAGAGAATTGGGCGATGCCCGTAACAAAGGTTGACCAGTGAGGTGCCCTGGCAGGCGATGGCGGCAGGCGGCGGAGAAGACCTGGCGGCGGCGGAGCGGCTGGTGGCGGAGCTGATGGGAGAGGACTTGGGGGCGGCTATGAAGTTTCTGCAGGCGAGAGGCCTCTGCCTCATGCCCATCTCCCTCGCCGCCGCCAACCCCGACGTCTAGAGGAAGCTGTACAAGCCCCCGAATTCTCACAAGTCAACTCCCTATAGTATAAAGAGAGCGAGAGAGAGAGAGAGAGAGATACATGTAGAGCGAGAGAGAGAGAGAGAGAGAGAGGAGGGAGAAGGCCCATCCAATCAAAAGATGCTAATCACTGAAAGCCCAACTAGATCTCAACACATTTTCTCCCCAACTAATTCTCCTTTCCCCCCATCTTCATCTCTCAACTCTACAAAAACCATTACAACTTCATCTACCACCCTCGGTCAACCCTACCCGCTCATTTCTTCCTGCGCTTCCTCCCACCGCCACCATCTCCAGAGGCGGCCGCCTTTGTAGAGCCGTTGATCTCCGCCTTGCTGCCTCCGGCCTTCGATCTCCTCGGTGCACCGCTGTCACTGCTGTCCGCAGAAGAGGGGGTCCTCACGCCGAGCTTTCTCTTCCGGCTGAACCCGCCGGCACTGCCATCCTCCGCCGCCGCCAGATCCTTTGGTCTCCGGCCGAGCCGTCGGCCGCCGGAACTTGTGCCGGCCGAAGCCCCTCCCGACCTGAGCCTCTTCGACACCTGGCCGCCGGAATCCCTGCTCTTTCTCTCTCTAGACGTGCTCCCTCCAGTGGCGGTTCCCTCGCCGGACTTAGAACGCCCCCGCCGTCGGCCGCCGCCAGTAGTTGACCCGGAGCCGTCCACTCTACGTCTCCTGCCGGGTTTCCCCTTGTCAACGCTGCAAGAAGAGAGAACCCACTTGCAGTCAGAGGAACGCAAGCCGGCGATGAGCTCTTCTTTCTAGGGGTCAATCCCACCTCCTCGGGGATGCATTCAACTTTGACATTCTGCCGGATGATTCAGATCTCCTCCTCTTCTTCTGCGCCCTGATTGAAACCAAATGGGCGCGATAATTTCTCAGAAAATGAAAAAAATAGAGTTCTAATATCCAAAATGGTTCAAAAATCGGTTCTATGACAGCACCGTTTATAGGGAAAAAAACCCTGGAATAGAAAGTCAACTAATGAGGGATAAACGGACACGTGGCAGATGATAAAAGAGAAAACCGTCATGGCGGGCGGCGTACGTTTCAGAAGCACTCTCCGGGGTTGCAGCGCCGCCTTTCTCTCCGATCATCGTCAGCTGTGACGGCGCCAAAAAATCATCAGAAAAAGAGGAAATAAAGGATATTAATTGTCAGAAAAAATTAATTTGGGGGGCACAGAAAAATCACCTTCGTTCCTTTACGGAACTTCAGAACCTCCTTCTTGAGGAAGAGATCCTCTTCGTCACCATCGTTGTACAACACCTGGAGGGAGGGAGGGCCCACGCGGGGACATCAGACCTTTCCGTGGCGATGACGTGGACCCAAGGAGTTGACTTTCGATCTTATGTATATAAATAGAATAAGAAATACCTTGTGCCTCATTGTGGAGGGATTGTAAGAATCGACGATGCCGGCGTAGAACCTGCGAAAGGGGAATCAATGAGGGTTCAGACAGGAGGAATGGATGGAGCACTGTGAGAAAGAAAGCCTGGTAGACAACTTATAGAGGGGGGGTAGGCAGGGCGTTGACCATGGGAAGGCAGTTCATTCGGTTTCTTGGAGATCTGATTTTACCAAAAGTGATCAACCTAGTGGTTGAAAAAAGTGTATGGCAGCACGCTCACCAAGCGCGTGGTTTGCCAAGCTGAATCCAATGTGCTTACTTCTGACGATGACGATACCACAATTTTTACACTAATATGCGTTGACCCTTTTAGATGGGTTGAAATAATATTCCCAAGCCACAAGTCACCAAAAGAGGAAGAAAATATGATACCCCAAAATGTTGTCTACAGAAAACAAATTTCTATGAGGGCAGAAATCTGAACCAGAACAGAAGTGACACAAGAGTCAACGCATGGTAAGTCAACACTGGTTTAAGAAGAAAATCTTAAGCCAGTGCGGGCATAAAACAAAAAAGAAGTTTATGTAAGAGTCAACCCCTGCCCAAAAAATTAAACCAACTGACACGAAGGGTTGACCCTAGAGAGTAGGAAAGCCAACAACAGAAGATCCCACAGGTATGAAGGGTCAACCCCTGCATCTTGCAGCGGCTATTTAACTACTGCAATCTGAAAAAGGCTGAAAAAGTTGGAAAATTGAGATGCTCAACTCGATCCCTGTTGGAGAATAATCCTCTGCAATAACCAGTAAAGAATCACTAGGCCCAAAGACCATAAGGAATGAGATATTCCCAAGCTTCCATGAATCAATTTTGCAAACCCTAGAAACAACCTCAACCTCACAACATTTCAAAGACATCTAAAGCTCTAGTGAGAGCTAGTCGCATTTTAGTCATTCATACAAGAAGACTTCTGAGGAAGACCAGCTCAGCTATATGAGATCTGATAGGCGCCCTGAGAATGATAATCTGTATGAGCTTGAGATAAGAGGTAGGCCCAGATCATCTGAACCAGTATAGAATTGATGCACCATTAATTTTCAAAACCAGCCCAAAAAAACCCAGGAACCCTAAAATTCCTCAGCTCAAGGGCATTTTCATGTATGCGTTTCTTTGAAACATGCAGCCGTGCTCCAATCTTTCTCTATTATTGTGAACGAAAAAAAAAAAAAAAACAAAGAACAAAGCTAAAGGCCTCAACTTTATCAACTAGGAACACCAGAAGCAGAAACCCAGGCATTAAAAAGCTCTTCTCATGACTTCTAATTGATCTCCCTGGTATGATCATTAAGCATACACAACATGTTTTCATGCTCGATGCTAAGAGTTTATTACATTTCTGTGCAAAATAATTGGAGCAAAGAAGAGGTTCAGAACTTTGATGGAAAAAAGAAAGAATGCAGTAAGGTAATAATCAGTATTTACTTAAAAATGGAGCAAATCAAACAGGACTAGTAGCCTTACTTTTCATCGTCCGGCCACCAGACCTTGATCTTGACACCGACAAGACTCTCGTCATATTTTATGGCATCATGAAGGTTCTCAGAGATCTGTAAGGCAATGCTCAATAAATCAGAAAACTTGAGATCTAGCGTGCACAATATAATTATGAGAATTAATGCAAAAAATACACATCCATGTATTCTAACGTGCACAATAAATCACCTGCAGTAAAAAAAAAAAATTGAACCCATTCGCTGCAAGCCAGATCCTAAAATTTTATTCCTACCCACAAAACCATGAGCATGAAACCGAAAAAAATGAACGATTCCAGACACAGAGATGTTACAGGGCCTGATGCCTGGGCAAGCATAATAATCGCTCGGTGGAAAGGGAAAAAGGTCATTTTATCACTAGATTTTCATGATAAGATGGAGAGGACCTAAACATCTCGCGCTTTCAACATTCTGGTGACCCTTCCCACATGATAGAACTTTCATCTAGGCCAAAGAAAGTCAAAGGAAATAGGCAACCCCCCCCTAATAGCAAACCAATAATAATAATAAAAAATAACGCAATAGAAAAGTTTCATTATCTTCTATTTCTAAGCGTAGTTGGATCTAATTCAAGCAACTCAGACAAAAAATGGAATCACATAAAGGCCACAATCAATCAGACATATGTATCGCTCATTCAAGCATAACAAGCCACAGAGAACAGAAGAGTACAAAAACAGTAAATCATATCTTATCACTAAACATGGAGGAAGTTCACCACATAGACAACAAACTGTTACGTGGAACAAACCACGGATCTACTGAAACGTAATCAAAAAATGCAATGAACAGATAAAATCTGCCAAAGTATGCGTCAGTAAATTATAGATGTAAAAAATCATAAAAAATAAAAAAGTAATTAAAAAGAACGGATACCTCTTCACGAGTACGCTTTTTCCTACGTTTTTTTGGAAGGCTCTCCTCGGAAAGAGATAGATCTCTGTTAGCTTTAGCAGTCGCCCTAGGTGAAGAAAGTGGTCCCTGAAAAGAAATTATGATTAGTATTTCAAACAGTTCAGTCGTGAAGGAAAATCAACGTCGTCAAACAGATAAATTAATTTATTATATTTAAGAAAATACCTTGAGATTTTGCTCACTAAAACCATTGTCATCTGAAGAGACTCCACCCTTTAGCAGTCTGCTTTTGGACGAGTGAGATTTTTCAGAAGTTTCGCCCTCACCAGCACTTTTCGGCTTTCTGCCAGGTCTTTTACGTTGTTTCCCTTCAGAATCAGTCAGTAAATCCCTGTCCATCTTAGATCGAAATTTTTTGTATGATCCTCTGCTATCTTCCGCATTCTCAAGAAGCTTTTTTGCCAAATGTCTGAGCGGTTTCTTTTCTGAATCGCTAACATCCTCAATCTGCTTCTCCGTGACAATATCAATAGAAGGTGTTGTTTCATTTCTAGAGTTCCCATTAACAGGCACATCATCTCCCACGTTCATTCCCCTCCTCTTGACTGAGCCCCTGTACCCTGAAGAACGGCCTCTCTTGGGACGAGCTGAACCAACACCAGTAGGTGTGACAACAGATGCACTATTATCAGCAGACCTTTCTGAGGAGGCATGACGCCCAATCCTTTTTTCACTTTTTTCTCGTTTATTAGCTTCTGCTTCCTCCTGGGAAAGTTTCTCAGACTGTAATCTATTAGTTCCCCGGCCACGACCTCTCCTCCGACCGGGCAATCCGACAGCCTCTTTTTCACTACTTCGGCGACCTCTCACTCTCTTTGCACTGTGATTCAATCCAGCCTCAATATTATCTGCCTCTGATCTAGCAGCTTGTGTCCTTTCAGAGTTAGTGCCACGACGAGAACGTTCACTCTTCTTGTTTGGCGAAGTCAGTTCCACCAATGGAATTTCATCCACGGCCTGAACTGTCCCATTGATCGCTAAAGATGTCGGCGACTTGTCAGCCACAACATTAACCTTACGAGAAGCAACTTCTGACTCCAGCTTTCCCAAGCCCTGGTAAGCAAGCAGCAGCAGTTGATGAACAAATATCAATTAATACATTCCAAGGTCAATATAAATCACCATGGAGCACATGGCATACCTGTTGTATCTCATCAGAGACAGTTCTCTCAGACACCTTGTTTTCATCTGCCTAAAGCATACCAATTCACCCAATTAGTAAAAGATGGGTCCTTACTAAACCAGTAAACATCAATTCGTCAAAAAGACAACATCATGTTAGAATGCATACACCAAAATTAGAGAATTTTTTGTCTATCTTCGCTTCGAATGGCAGTATGGGCAAATATACCATCCATCACCTTAAATAATTTAAAACGCGGATGATAAGCCTTCATAAGGTTAAAGTTACAAAAATGCTACCCCATCAGCACAGTAAGGGAAATAGAAAAAACTATGGGCAGTTGGCAACATTAAAGCTTTGTAGATGCATTTCTTTCAGGGAAAAATCCACAAACGTCAAAACAAAGTCGATAGTTGGTATTTGGTGTTATTTATAGCAAATATCATATCATGATCTGGTTCCATTCCAACTAGAGATAACTAACTCAACAATGAAAGAAAGAGAAAAAAGTGACCAAAGAAGAATTAAAAAAGGTGACCAAAGAAGAATTACAAGCCAAAGATCAAAATAAGACAGGAAAGAACAAGCGATGAAAAAACTAATTGACAGGAGCAAAAAGATAACCTAGGAATATCTCAAGGAAAGGAGACGTAATTACTTTTTCTTTCTTCAATTCCTCTGTTTCTCTACTTCTACGAATCGAATTCCCACTCATTCCTATCTGTCTTTTTTATAAACAGATCCAGGATGCATCAAAACCAGGTTGGCATAATATATGTTCCCTCAGAGTCAACAGAGGAACAAGCTGCCACAGCCTCTCACTTGTCTCATCCAAAATTTACAGCATTTTAGATAGGACCAACTGTCCATGAAGCACAAGAGTTTGAGTCTGACTACGCCGTGTACTTTTTTGGCACAAAATGGTCCATACGCTGGAGCCAGTGAAAAACCAGGTCGTTTGATTGAAGCGAGAGGCAGATTAGTTAGGCAGTTTATTCCACAAAATTCCCAGTACGAAAGGCCACTAAAATTAAGATCTTGTACAGAATCGCAAATAACACAAAGAAGGTGATTAAAATGATCCCAGCCCCCTGAACACAGTTGACTTATTAATAGAATGTTATTTATTAAAATAAAGAACAGAGTGAAAAGAGATAATCGGCACATACAGAAGAAAAAAGAAATGCATTGATTGGTTCAGGTACAGTTTTAGGTATTTTTGGAAAAAAAGCTATAATGCTCTGTTGATTAGTAACTTCTATTACAAGATGTCATAAACGATTGTACTTGAGAATTAAGCATCAATATTAAGGTGCAAAGGTTTACACATTGAGCATTCGCCACGAACCTTTACACCATTATGCTCCAGCACATCGGAGCTCTCTTGACATACTGCTGCAACGATTTTACTGTAATCAGCCAAAGGAGCACCAATTGACTGAACTGCTTCCATCAGGCAAGGTTTTAACTTCAAAGCACAATTTGCTATTACTTTTTCTGCCAATTTCCGTGCAATTGGCAAAATACTCTGGAAAAGTGAATTGAGTTAGAGAATACAATAAAACTAAGAGATCAAATAAGAAACTAAGCAGAAGGACAGAAATACCTTATTATCCCTTTTCACGATCATCAATAGGCAAGAAAGAAGGTCTGGTGAAATATCTTCACTTTCCTCTAAGACTAATGTCATTATTGTCTCCATTGAAGTAAAAACACTTTCTGGATGGTTATCCCTGCAAGTTGCACATGTCCAATTTACCACATTTAAAAAGATGATTGAAACAAAACAAGGAAACAGTAATTACTGCAAAAATCGTGAAAGGTAAAAGTAACAAAAATAAAAATAGTCAAGTTTAAGCAAATATTGTTTATGCAATCAAAATTAGATGAACATGGCAAATAAATAACTAGGTTGGAAATAGAAATAGTTGCCGAAGTGGCATTGATTACCTCGTGGACAAGTTTAATAAATCAAACCAATAAAAAAACAAAGTTCTGGACGAAGAACATCATCAACAAATGTACAACGTTCTAACTCTAACAAAGTTTTGCAGAAAAGAATAAAAGTGGAAATAACCAAGCATATTTAAATTGAATGGCCGAAATAACAAACACTGTTGCTCTAAGGAAAAACCAGGAAATTTGTTTTATCACGACACTTTCCTCAATAACAGATAATATTTGGAATCTATAGCTTTGAAGATCCGTCTGGGTTTAAACAAAAAAATCCGATAACTACCCCACCGAAGGAGGTCATTAAAATTTTTACCATCGGTAATACTTAGTATTAAGGTTTCTTATTTATCTTAAGATTCTCAGTTATATTATCTTTTTTTAAGAAGGAAGGGAAAATCATTACGTATGTTGATGAGCAAGAGGTTCATATAACCACCGGAAAAGGCATGATATTTCCATTTTCACATTCACTTTAACACTTCTAACATCAATCAAAGTGGTCAACCATTGATGATTCTGTGGTAATAACGGCAATAATGAGAAAAGACAAATCAAATGAATAGCCAAAAATAAGCAACGCGGGTCAGAACCACCGTTCATGTAACTTCCAAAGTTTGGCAGCTCAGTGACTAATTCAACTGCTACGCAAAAGAGTTTACTAAGTTTTTGAATCATGAAGTAAAGTGTAGCAAATCAAACCATAATACCATGACATTCACACCATGTTCTACACAGTCTGAATTAGTGCTTCAATGATAAAACCAATAACACATGCATGCAGTCAATTTACTCCTGAATAGATTCAATAACTACATAAACACAAAAAGCGAGGCAATTTATAATGAAATGCAGTCAATTTAAAAAATTAAAATAAACTTTCATTACCTGATGGTATTCAGGAAATGATGAAACATGTCGAGAATTAATGAGTCACATTCAAGGTCCAGCATCACAACACATGACCTGACCTTCGCTACAGTTTCCAGAATTGAAACTCTTTTTGGGTACAAACTGCTGGACATATCATCTAGATTTCTAAAAGACTGAACGATCCTTTGAAAGATCTCCTAAAAAAAACAAGATTTAAATATTTTAAGTAATTTTAAAACCGTAAAACATAACAGTAACTAAAAAATGATATTGTGAATATTTCTAGTATAAAATAGTTAAAACCTTCATTAGGTCATCATCATATGGAGCCTCTGGCGCTGTTATTCTGGTGATCTCACTGATGCAAGTTGTGACAGCAACGTGCACATTTGTATCTACATTTTCCAGAAGTTCCTTTGCAGTCAGCCCCATAATTGCCGGACGCAGTGCAATTAACATTGACTGGGAGGGCGACTGTTCCACTCTCGACAAGAGAGACTCTAATTGCTGAAACATTTAAAGAATAGTGAGTGCAACAGTAGAGTTAGTCATACCTCTAAAAAAGTATTGAAAACTATAAATAAATTGAAATCATGCACACTGACCTTGCATTTAACATATGATAGAATGAAATGACAACCAAATTCAGCTCCACGTAAGATAGCCAAAGTACGGTTGAGCAATCGACATGATATATTGACTTTCGTCCATTACCCAAGTAGTTAATATTCAGTAGATGGCGATGATTATGATCTTTCATAATTTATTGCATTTTCTAGAAAAAAAATTAAAGATGAGCAGTGAAAAGTGGCTACAACTAGAACCTATTAGGCTCATCACAATGTTGACAGCGCTCTCAGCCTACACTGCCCAGATTTGCAATAAGAGTTTCAGTAAGTCACCACCGGCATGTGACTGACTTTATCCATTACCAGATAATATGAGCGATTTCTAGACTCTGTTCTTAAAAAAGTCGCAGTCATCCAAAGTTATAACCGTAGGCTTAAGTGGCAAGCATCTAGAGCTGACAGTAACTCCAAATCGAATCATGATAATGGCAGTTCCAAATAGCAAGAACCTCAATAGGCAGCAATCTAAACCATCATTATTAGAATCAGCAACAAATGGGAGACAATGAATGCAATTTATTTCTTTCTTTCTTTCCATCTCAATCTTCTCTTGAACCCAGAGAAATAAGAGTCATATTTGCACACAATTTTTTTGTTTTTCCGAGTTTTTTTATCCGCTAATTAAGTTAAATTAATTGCAGAAAAGTACCATCTAACTTCATTTTCTAACATTAGGAAGATTACCCCAAAGCCATAAACAAGCGCATAACAGTGCATACACAATACTTAAACAAGTCCATCCTTTAGAGCGCACTACACCTGACATATGTCAAACGCACATTATTTAAAAAAAAAAATACAGAGACAATTCTTGATTTACTCCACATGTTTCGTCCAAAACTTTACCATAGGAAGTCTTGTTTGAAGGATATGTCAAACTAGTTCAATCGACAGATTTTCCAAGATATATCTTCTAACAACAGCTTTATTCTTTAGTGTTTTCTAATCATGTTGGCACTGTTTCACTATCGTAAAGTTACCATGTTTTCGCATTTCCCAGAATGCAGCTCATCATTTTCTTTAATTTCTTTATATTCCTTTTCTTTTCATGGAATCTTGTCGCAAAATACCCCAGAGGGTAATCAATCAATGTCCCTCTTCTGTAAAGAGCAAGTAAAGAAGCATTCATATACTTAAAATATGAACCCATTACAAATTATCCACCATTTCCACAATATTTAAATGACAGAGTCCCAAAAACTTTGGTAAAATCTTGATAGAGCCTGTTTGGACATCTCCCCATGTCTATCTCCAGAAATCGTCTCTTTCGTCATTCATTGTGCATTTAGGCTGATTTCCTGAGTAAATAATCTACTAAGCTACACTGTCACTACAAACCTGAAAATAATACAGAGTCAACGGAATATGTGAGATAGGAACTACCTTTTTCAAAAAAAACTATTCCCACGCCATAACAAGACTAATCTAGTTTGATATTATCAAAAGAAATATAAGCGTGGTGGTCACCATCCTTTGACCAATAATCCATTTGAATGTTGCCTCCATTTGATGCATCGCTTAGAAGAAATTCCAGTGAATCAGCTTTGCTAAGTACAATTTGTTGATCATCATCCAAAGTCATACTCTTCAACACACCAGCCATAAAATAGTGCTTACTCCTTTGTTCAAGGTTAACCCCCGGATCCACTACTTCCATTCCTATGAGAAGCAAGTCGAAACACTCCAAAGCCAGAGAGGCCAACTAGTTAACATGCTAAGTCCTCCCATATAATCAATTAGCAATCAGCTGATTGTGCCTTCATATCTGAGTCGTAGACCCAAAAGAATGAACGATTCCTACACCAATCCAAGACTGTAACTCGACATTTCTCCTGAAGCTATGCATAAAGAGTGACAAGCTAAAGGAAAAATCGGAAGAAACAAAATTTGTAGGTTAGGAAAAAGAAGGAAGCATTGTGACCGTGAAAGATTGTTTTTTCTTATTCCTATGCGAGGTTCAAATATTGATTTGTAGGTTCTTCCATTCACGACTCTTCCAGAGGATTTGAAAGAGTTTCCGCCCAATTGTACTCAACCATTCACGTCAAATGTCCACGACTCCATGATCAGGAACATCAAGATTCACTCCAATCCCGTGGAACTTGTGCAAAATCTTCTCGCACTTGCTGGACTGGTCATTGTTTTCAGAAGGTAATTCTTATAAACGTCGAGTATTGTGGGAGTCAACGATCTCCTGAAGTGGAAGCTTACACCAAAAAGTAATTTCGGTGTAACTCCAAATCCGAAAACGCGACAGCCTTTGGACGAGGTAGCTTCTGAAGTTTAAACGCGGTAGGAACAAATCAATAGGTCCACCAGAAACCCAAAAGTACATAATCGGGTAATCTAAACACGAAATACCTCCAAATATAAGTAAGGAAGAAATGAAAATGTGGGAGAGAACGATTCAAGGACCAGTGGAGTAAAATGTAAAATTTGTAGATGAAGTCTGACTTAACCCACCCCAGCACGGTCTTTACATAAAAAAAAAGAAAAGCGTACGGAGAGAGTAGGCGGAAGGGAACGGAGGGAGGGAGAAGATTAGGGCTTACGTCTAGAAGCGGAAGGAGGTCGTCCACGGACTGGGGAGCGTCTTGGAGCCGTTTTCCGGCCTCCTCGATGTTCCCCTCCAGCTCTGTCTCTGAGTTTCCCATCTCTCCTCGTCGGGATCCCAGCAGACCTCTATGCTAGCCCGCCGATTGACCCCATCGAAACCCTGGGAAAACCCTAGAAAAACGTCAAGCGCCCGTTGCTCGCATGGGGGAAGAATGAAAAATAATTTGGACGAGGAACCGCGCCACGATCCATAGAAAAAGAAAGCAATTATGAACCCCAAGCAAATGGGCCATTCGTTCTTACCTCCTCGCAGTAGAAAATATGTTTCTTTTTAGGGTATTCTCTTTCCTCCCTCCCCCCCCTCCCCCCACCGGCAGCGTAAAAGTTACTGGACAGAGAGAGGGAGACTGAGAGATGGAGGTAGAGCGGGAACGAGAGAGAGAGAGATGGATGAATAGAGAGAAATAGAGAGAGAGAGAGAGAGAGAGAGAGAGAGAGAGAGCGCGGGACGAAGAAAGATACAGAGATGTCGGAAATTACCAGAGAAATAAGAGAGAGAAAGAGTGGAGGGTGAGAAGAAGATCAGAGAAGGGAGATTTTAGGGTTTCCATAGAGATTCCGCTCGTGATCTGCACCCATTTATGCAATTCGCCTAACCACTTTGTTCGAGTCCGCCACGTGGATCTGGAACCGACAACCGGCTGGGCCCACGTCAGCAGACATTAACCGCTGCTTATATTTTTATTTTTTATTTTTTTAATCATAATAAAGAGTAGCCCCAGTATTAATTATTATCTCACAAACTGTACCCGTCATCTAACTAAATTGGTTTTATATTCTAGTTCTCTAGACTCCGCTTGAAACCTATTCGTCTATTTCATATATTTATTCGAACCCAAAATTATATTTACTTTATCTGAGGAGTTAATTGTAAAATTACGGCAGCAATCCCTCGTACCTGAATATGATACTTTCAAGGGTAAAACTGTCTCGACAAAAGTGAGGAGGATATATATACATTATAAAAAGGCCAGATAATCACATTTTCTCGCTTTTTTAGCATGAAAGATCAGCTTTTGAAAAATAATTCTGTCTTTTATTTAAATAAAAACCTGATTCAAAACACCTAGAAAAAACGTAATATTAATTATTTGATTTTCTCGCATTCTAACTGTTTCATTAGTTATATAAAAACCCAGATAATTGCATTTTCCCGCATTTTTAGCATGAAAGATCAACTTTTGAAAAATAAAATCTTATTCCAACTACCCATAAAAACTGAAGATTATTTATTTGATTTATGGCCATGGTTTGGAAAATATTTAGCGTGTGCTGGTCGATGTGGGTAATAGAGGTAATAATCGGCCAAACGATTTTTAATGATTCTGAAATTCTTTTCCCCGATTCCGAAACGCGTACAATCGGGGCCGGGATTTTACGACTGAATTTGTCTTTTGAAAATCCGATTCTAGGGGACTCGAAAATACGTCGCCAAACGCTGCACGGACGAATGGGCGGGAGGCGAGACGTCGGGCAGGGAGAACACGTATCCAGACCAATAGAAAATTCCCACGTCAGCAAAGGAATACGTGGACATTGGCAATTTGCTGGGGACTGGCTGCGTGAGTGTCACCTTCTCTCTGAGAGAGGAATTCCCAACTCCCCAAAGGGAGGGGAGGAAGAGACGAAGAAGAAGAGGGCGGGGCAAGAGGATCATCATCTTCGCTCTGGAGGGCCGAGAGGAGGACGCCGTGGCTTCCTCAGGGGCTCAGGGCCTCTCCCGCAGGAAGAACGCCGCCGGCGCAGGCTCTGAATCGCTGGGCGCTGAGACTGCTGCATCGTCGACGTCCGCCAGAAAGGAATCGAGGGCTTCCAGAGGGTCGAAGCCACGATTTCCTCCCGTCGATCTGCCCTTCTGGCAGCAGACCTGGTTCCTGATCGTCCTCGTCTTGATGGCTCTCTCCTTCTTTGCGTTAGCAGTTGTCCTATATCTCAGTCTAGAAATCGAGGAGGGTTCTCCAAATCTGTCTTTCGCAGCCGCCCCCGCTGCCGATGCCGTACAGGTTCGTGAAGCACCTCTCCCTTCCAGTTCTCTGCTTCCATGCCCTCCCTCGGATCTTGCAGCAGTGTGCCGCGTCTTTTGATTTGTCGATTTGATCATGGCAGATTACCTATGGAACGACTCTCAAGCTGATGCACGAGAGGACCAAATTCCGTCTCCATTCCCACAACGTTCCCTACGGATCGGGGAGCGGCCAGCAGTCGGTCACGGGCTTCCCTAACGTTGACGACTCCAATAGCTACTGGGTACGCGTACATATCTACCCCGGCATCCCCAAATATCACATTCCCCATTTTCTTTGCAATTCAACGTGGCATTTTTCACATAGATTTTTAGTTTCACGTCCACTTTTAGTCCGGAATTGTAGTTTCACGTCCACGGTCACTCGACGAGATATTTTGGGCATCTAACTTTTAGGGAAGATCTTCGTACACCATGCCTTGTCGGAATTAAGTGAGCTGTGATTGGAACTCCTTGACTTGCTTATATTTGCCCATTAAGCCAGAAGCGAAGTATTTAAATTTTTTGAGGAGAGAGGTTGCCCCATTTTATTCCCTATAAGGCAACGTCTGTGGAAATGGACGCTTACCAAGACGAGTCTTAGGTCATTCAGAATAGTAGACCAACCTCAGAGGCTGTACAGCACAACTCTCCCCGAGAAAGAAGAAAGTGCTGTATAACTCCCTCGTTATTGGAATACGTCAAATATAGCCATCGATTTATTTTAGTCATCACTCCGTTTTACACACCAAGTCAAACCAAGTTGTATGTTTATTAATTTACAATTCTGAGCTTAGTTATGTATAACGATGTCTGGAATGCCAAGGCATATATCAAGTCGAGGGATTATGATCCTGATCATGCTACGAGGTGACTTTTTACATACCTTGCGTTGTAAACGGGGAATCCTTATGTTCTAATTGTTGCAGTATTCTTTATATGGCGGTAGGATTGTTTCAAAATGGCTGCTAACAACGGAAGATTTTGAACCCAGTCTAAATGATCGGACCTTTTTTATCTCCTTTCAGGAAGACAACAATACTGCTGTCTACTCGTGATTATGTACATAATTGCCTCCTTGGAACTGCCCTACCTTTTTTTTCTTTTTTGAAAACTATGCAGCTTCTGATTATTATTTCTAGAAAACTGCATCTAAGCTTGGCTATAGTGGATGTGAAGTGATAAGATCAATCGAAGCTCAACCAAAAGTTTGTCTGCATTTACCAGCAAAGTCACCCGCATCTCTGCTTGAGAACTACATGCCCGAGAAATTTTGAGCAGCTACCAACCCATCCAAGTTACGCACACTCATCTTGTGTGTACCCTGCCCTGAAAGATCTGTCTACTATTCCTCCGTGTATATTTTAATTCATTGTAGGTTGGTTAACGCGATTAGTGGAGGAGTTGGAGATTCTTTATCCTATCCAGTCACATAAACGTGTGGTACCCCTCTTTGATGTGCTAGTTCGTTCAGGGTAAAACAATAACAGAGTCCCTTATGTCATAGTGTTTCTCATATCCAAGTGCTTATAAAAACTTCCTAAACATGGATGATAATCTATTCCTCTTATGAAGCAAAGAAGAACATCCCTCAAGGTGAATGGTCTCCCAAACCTCGTACAGGCTTCATCTAACTCATTCACCAACATGATCGTGGTGGAATGGTGTAACATCAAACATTTTTTCTATCCTGTCAAACGCCATTATTACGTAATAAAGGGGCCACTGTCTATTGTATATGAAGTTGCTGTTGTAGATCCTTCTGTGCTAATTTCCTACTTCGTAGTTGTAAACTGTATGAGAAATGCTGCTGTACTGGTTGTCATGAAACCTCAGCCTTATCTTTACCCACATCAGTTCAATACTATTGCTGATTTTACTTCTTTATCAATGTATTTCGAACCCTGTTGGGGGCACTGCCTATTTTGCTATTCTGCTCAGGATGGAGGAAGCCTCCCCTGATATGAACGCGCACGTTTGGTTTTTCTTCATTTTCACATGATTTTGGGATTTTCACTTATTTACAGTTTCATGAATTCGGTTTTTTTTTTCTCATTCAGCATGGACAGTTTAGTTTCTTAAAACAATCTGATGGTTCATGTGATGTTCTTCAAGTAGTGTGAAACGATCTTTCACATTCTAATTTTGCACTCAAAATCTGTAGATCGTGAGGCCTGTGCTGGATTCATCTGCGAAGCAAGGGGATCCCATTAAAAGTGGAACTTTGATCCGGCTGCAGCATATGAGAACTAGAAAATGGCTGCACAGTCATTTGCACGCTTCCCCAATCTCTGGGAACCTGGAGGTATGGAAACGGAAATATTTGGCCTTCCTGTTGATACCAAATGTGACTACAGTTCTGTGTAATATTACTTTATTTAGCAAAAAAAAAGATGCATCAATCGCTCACCCAGAGAAAAACCTACAAATTATTCACGTTAAAAATCGCAACAAAAAAATTAATGCTACATTTATATGTAGATATATTATCTCAGAAAGTGCAACACCAGATAATGGTTCGTTTTCGGTGAACGCCCACAGGTGAGCTGCTTTGGAGGAGACCAAGAGTCAGACACTGGAGACTTCTGGCGGTGGGTCTCTCTTCTTCTGCATGAGTCAGTGCGCTGAGATTGAGCAACACTGGCTCATTGATACCTTCTGCCATGGCTGCTGTTTTCCAGGGTCGAGATCGAGGGAAGTGGGAAGACGTGGACGCAAGACCAGAGGATTAGATTGCAGCACGTCGACACTGGTGGTTACCTGCACAGCCATGACAAGAAGTACTCTCGGACTGCCGGCGGGCAGCAGGAGGTATGAAAATCTCGAGAAGCTTTTATCAGAAATTCTGAATCTATTAATCTGATTCTTTCCGATGACCAATTTCTGGGAGATTTCTTTGGAAATCCTGAATTGGAAAATATGACTCCATCCGATGATTCATTTCTAAGAGGTTCATTAGATATTCTAAATCTGAAAAAAGGTCTGACTATATCCAATGAATCTCGAAAAATGGCCTCCCCAATTATTTTTTTCTAGGAATTTTCATCAGAAATTATGAATGAAGAAGTCTAGTATTCTCGTGATTCATTTGTAGAAATTTTCATCTGGTATGTCTATGATTCATGTCGAGGAATTTTCATTAGAAATTCCGAATCTAGAAATCCAGTCTTCCGATGATTCATTTATGGAAAATTTCGTCTGAAAATTAACCTAAATATCTAGTCTTTCCAAGGATTTATTCGAAGCAATTTACATCAAATTCTTTGAAAATGCTGAATCGGAAAATATGACTCGATCTGATGATTCATTTCTAGGAGATTCATCAGATATTCTGATTCAATAAATCTAACTATATCCAATGAATCTCGAAAAATGCCCCCCCCCCATTATTCATCTATAAGGGGTTTAAATCAGAAATTGTGAATGAAGAAATCTGGTATTCTCGCAATTCATTTGTGGAAATTTTCGTCTGGTATGTCAATGATTCATTTTAGGAATTTTTATTTATGGAAAATTTCGTCTGTAAATTGGAATCTAAATATCTTGTCTTTCCGAGGATTTACCCGAAGTAATTTAAATCTCCAGCTCTTTTTGGTGATCAAATCTTTGTTCCGTCTAGTTTTCTGCTTGTTCTTGACACTCATCTTTCTACCTTCCCACAGGTTTGTGGAGTGAGAGAGAAGAAGTCAGACAACGTCTGGCTGGCGGCTGAGGGTGTGTATCTTCCGGTCAACACGGAGAAGTCAGCTAGCTCCTGATTTCTCCGCCCTTTGCGGAGGTCCTGAAGGAGTGTCTATGTTCTTCCATTATGTCTCCCATGACGCCCTTTGCCATTTTCTTAACGGGTTAATGCTAGAGAAGACATTTTCCAAACAGAATATGTATCCAAGAGTTTTTTCAATCTAATGCCATCCCAAGCCCAAGTCATCGACCTCTCTCCCTTTCTCTCTCTCTCTCTCTCTCTCTCTCTCTCTCTCTCTAGAGGAATAAGTGTAATACTTTGTTCCATGCTGGGTCTTGCAAAGAATTGTGGATGAACAACCCAAATTTCTCAAAAAATAATTAATTTAATTATTGGAGGTACACTGAAAATGAGAATAATGTCGTATGTTTTGTTATAAAATACATATTATAAAAAAGAAAATGAATGTAATCTTATTTATTTATTATTTTGAGAAATTATACTTATTTTTTAAATAAAAAATTATTTCAAAAAGATGTTTGCTGTTGAGCACACAATCTTTGTCATGCATTAGGTGATCTAGACCCCATCTAGCCTCACATAACCAAAAGAGGTTGATCTTAATAACTCCAAAGGTGGTTCATACATAGGGTTGAGGTACCTCAATTAGACAAGACCCATGGGGGTGGTTAATCTCATTTTCGATGTAAGATTAATTCTCTAATAACTAGATGATGCCATGCTAGTGATGTCATCAGCTTTAATGGTCTTTGGTCATCATATCATAACAGCTTGCACATGAGCCCTATCGTCAAGTGTCTACATCATGATACTATGCATTGTTGTTGTGTTGTCTCGCAAGCATGTTGTGTCACCATGTCTTTGCACATACATGTAGTGTTGTCATGCATCTACTTTGTATTGCCAAATGCGTGCGCCATGCCATCATGCACATGCAACATGCTGCCATATGTGTACATGCCATTGTGATGGTCATGTATTGTATCACCATGCTGGAATGTTGCATCACCACACATGCATGACTTGCCACATGTGCAGTCGTGTTGCATCACCCTACATGCATGTCATGCCATCATGCACTCCCATCATTCCATGTATGCCCATTGTGTGCAGTGTGTTGTTGCCAAGGTCTATTCCTACATGACAGCCATGGTAACATTCTCCCTCACTAGTAGGATAACATTATTTGATGATATCTTGTCGTTGTTTGGTGAAGTAGTAAGTTGTCGACAAGTATCTTTGTCATTGCTACTTGATGACCTCTGGTGGTGTCAAGGGCTAGCAGCTTATGGCCAACTCAAACACTGAGTATTCTACGGACATGCACTATTAGATATTGTGGATGAATTTGATAATGTCATGTAACTAGATCCAATTGTCTTAGCATATTGTTATGTAGTGATTCATGTATTCCTCAAGCATATCTTTGATGCATTCCATCTTTCCATCTATTTGGGGTGGAGAGTAGTAGAGAAATTAAGCTTAGCCCCAATGAAGCTAACTAGATGTATCCAATGAAGCATGGTTCTCGATTTGAAATGATATCTTGTAATATGTCCTAAAATTTGATGACGTGTATTAGGAATAATCTAACCACCTCTTTTGCCTTGTAGTCAGACCATGTTAGAATGAATATGAGATATATGGAGAAGTGGTCAACCACCACTGAAGTTTATTGATAATGACTCACATGGTCCCTTAGATGGGGGAGAGACTCTAAGATTTCTATCACATTCTATCATTCCACTTTATCACATTGGCAAATAAGATGTGAGCGAAAGTATGTTTCTATATTCATCTCTATGTTAATTACAAAAAGGGTTAGTATGTGTTACTATCTTGAGTGACCCGCTTGCTTGCAGCACATCAAGGGTCTCATGTAGAAGTTGTCACCTCAACTATACCCCTTGTGGCAAATAAGTATGTTGTCCTCTATCTATAATCGACAAGTCTCTCTTATCTAGGTCTATTGTATGAGGTGTTTGGTCAAGCCATTAGTGAATTATATACGACTCAATGCATCTACAACAATATTGACATGTCTCAATTTACACTATAGTGAGAAATCATATTTGGCAAGTCTTGTGTATATTTGGGGCTCAACTTCTTTTGAGGATTGAAGCAATTAGTGACAACATTGTTAGTGTAGACAATGAAGGTGTTACCTAATAAATAGTGGCATTATCATAGATTGAGTGTCATTGTTCTATATCACTCAATTTACTTCCTTTAAAAATAATGGGGTGATTTTTCTACACGAGAACTTCATCGATTGTCACCTCTAAAGTATTAGTGTGTACCATGAAGGTTTCGGCAAAATAGAATAATTAGAAGACTGACTCCTTAGTGATGACCATCTAAAAATTATTGAACATGTGCTGACACCCCTCTGTCTTAGTCCATCTTCAGACTTACTTGAGGAGCTTTGCCAGTGATGTAGCCAACTTTGAATGAAAAGCCCATGATAAATTTTCAATAGTAATTAACAAGCCTAAAAAATGATTTTAGTTCGGATACTCTCTTCGCCATTGATCATTCATTGATGACATTTACTTTCTTTTGATCCATATAGACTTGCCCATGCCTCACTGACGAGACTAAATCGTATGGTTGTTGAATGCACACAATTCAGTGTCAAAACAAAGTCCTAATCTTACCAATTTATGATTAATCAAAGTAATTAATTAATATAATGGTAATTAAGGGTCGAATCCACGGAGAATTAGGGAAAGTTGAGAGATATCTTTGAAATTCGGTCAAATCGGACGATGAAATTAGGTTAGAAATTGGGCAATTTAGTATATTAAAAAAGATAACTCAATTTCGAATCCACGTAATCAAAAATCAGGTGATTTGGATGAGAATTCGAAGAGTAATCGAAGTTTGAAGTTAAGAGAAATTTTCGTATTGCGAAATGATTAAAAACAGAAATTAAAACTAAATTAAACTTAATCTACAATAATTAAAGTAAAATTAACACTAAATGATGAAATATTAAGATGAAAACGAACAATCTAACCCAAATTAGCCTTCGAAATGATCCAATTAATCGCCGGATGCAAGGCTTTTCATTCCGAATTTTCGAAGACGAAAGAGGAGTTCAAGACTTGATTTCTTCCAATTCTTTCAATAAAACATTGGAATTAAACATCCAACAGAAGCGGAAATGAGTTCCGAACACAATGCAAAAGATGGCGCGCGAATTGGAGCTCTAAACAAGGAGAATTTGAAGATTAATCGCGGCCGTTCTTCCGTCGCGAAGAACGGATTTTATAAAATTCGGAAATGATCGTGGTCGTCTGATCTGATGGAGTTGATCGCGATGGACGATCGCGATGAGACGCCTCTTCACGAATCGTCGCGACGATTCGACGATCGTCCGATCGTGATCGTGCGGTTAAGATGTGATTTGATGTCCATCTGATGTGAACAATCTGGACCGTTATAACTCTCGATCAAACGGTCGCGATTTATTCACTTAAGTGAGTATTTAGGCACGTGGTTGATCTCTGATCGCGTGGACCTCAATTCCACGTGATCTACGCACGCTATTTGTCGCGATGTCGATCGGACGCACAAGATCACGCCACGCTGCACATAAGAAAACTTTAATTAATTTTATACATTTATGTATTATATAAAATAAATACATAAGTGTTAATAAATATCTTTTCTCTCATATTTTCACTCTTAAAACATGATTATGATCATAAATATAATTAGGATTAAGGATTGTAATGTGTAATTATTTATAATAATCCATAATTTGGTGTATTTTTAGATCATAACATGAATTTATACAAAATGATAGAAATATACTTAAAATATGATAACATGCATATATTTGTAATGATTAATGCCTTAATTTGCATTAATAATTATATAATTACATGCATAAATAGCATGTTATCACTCACCATGTGGTCAAAGAATTTGATCTTATCAATGGAGAAGACACGATTTACCAAGTTGAAATATAATTGATAGACCTATTATGTAGCAAACACTCATCTTAGATGTGCTAATTGTTCTTGCATAGAGTAATTGTACACTAAAATATCATCTAAGTAGACTATTTTAAATTTATTAATAAATAATCATAATATATATTTTTTACTAGAGATCAAAATCTAGTCATAATATTTGTTAGTTTAGAAGGCATCGTAGTAAATTCATAAGACCCATGATATGTGGCCTCCCTACATACCAAAAAAATTATGTCTCTAAAACAAAAGTTATTTAATTTATTTCTGGTTAGAGGATATATTTTTTTTAATAATATTTATCTATTTAATTAGTCTTAATTTTCAATAATTGTGACATCATGTTTGCATGTTAATTTTTTCCTATGTTTTTGCATATATATGTTTTAATATATATTTTTCACAATAAATATCACATCATGTTTTTTTTTCATTTGCTTCTAGGCTATGTTCCATGGTGTCTTCCATAGAACGTTACATTTTTTAAAAATATAATATTATTTTACTTATTTATAAAAATGAGAATAATGTCTTATGTATGTGTTAGAAAATAGTATTTCCGAATAAATAATTACGTTATGGTATCTTGGGCTGGGCCTAAATGTTGGGCCATTTTTTCTATGCCCAAAATCGGGTGGCCCAGAATACTCGAAGGCGTGGGGTATTTATTCTCGGCGCGGGATATCATTACCCGTCCCCCCCCCCCCTCCGTCTTCGTCTTCACCCGGTGGCTCCGTTTTCTTTCTCCGATCAGGCGCTCTCCCACATCGATCTTCCGCCATGGAGCCGGCGAAGAAATTGCAGGTATTCATCAAGTCCCCCGATCTCGGAATCCCCACGCGAGCCCTCGCCGTTGACCCCGGTCTCACCTTCCGCCGCCTAAAGCTCTCTGTCCTCTCCCGGGCGGCCCGTCTTCACGAAACCCTAGCCCTAGAATCGTTCTACTTCTCCTCGGGGGGGAAGGCACTGCTCGATTCATCGACCGTGTCTGGATCCGGAATCCTGCCACTGTCCACCCTCACGCTCCGCCTGAGGATCTCCGGCGGCGGCGGAGATGGCGGCGCCACCGGAGCGGAGTCACGGGACTGCTACCTGAACATGTACGCCGTCAAGAAGCCCGATAAGGTGGACCCTAACGAGACGAGGCTGACGAAGTGGACTACGTGCGCTCTCTCCTTCGAGCCCCTCGCTCCTCCCTGCGTGGTGGACCGCCTAGGGAACGTGTTCAACAAGGAGCGGCTGGTGGAGGCCCTGCTGGGGAAGAAGCTCCCGAAGGAGTTCAGCCACATCAGAGGCCTGAAGGACATGATCCCAGTCCATCTCTCCGAGATCCCTGGCAGCGAGAAGTCAGGGACGAGGTTCCAGTGCCCGATCACGGGTCAGGAGTTCAACGGAAAGTATGGATTCATCGTGCTTCGGGGGTGCGGGCATGTCTTGAGTTCCAAGGCGTTGAAGGAGGTGAAATCTTCCGCCTGCCTGGTTTGCCACCGTGAGTTCTCCGATTCAGATAAGATGGTTCTTAATGGGACCGCAGAGGAGGTCAAGGCCTTGAGAGAAAGGATGGAGGAAGAGAGGGGGAAACTGAGAGAGAGAAAGGAGAAGAAAGAGAAAAAGCTGGACACCCGTTTGAGCGGCACCAAGCACCTGGCCGACGAGAAGGGTAGGCTTCCGGTACATGGCAAGCAAGAAGGGACCGTGAAGAAGTTCAAAGCAGTCGACATTGCTCCGGCCCATGCGACCAAGGAAGTCTATGCATCCATTTTCACATCATCACGGAAATCAGATTTCAAAGAGACATACTCCTGCAGGTCTCTCCCTCTCGGTAGGAACTGATGCTTGTTTATATCTCTCGTACCATGTTGCTTCCTGCTATGTGATTGCTGGTGATCCATGGAGATAATCCCATCGCATCTTCGTTGATGCATGGACATGCTCCCCTAAACCCCCTGTCTTGTACCTTGTTCAGAAGATTTTACCTTATTGGGAAGAACATCTAGGCATATTCTGCTCTGTCTTCTCGCTGAGAGCCTCTTTGATCCATGGAATACCATCGAAACCTCAGAACTATGTTCCCAATCTGTTTCCATCGTTGACTAGTGGAGATTTTCCTAAAAATGCCTATTTACTCTCATCTGTGTTTACCTCCCTCATCGCCCTTTGCTTCTCTCTCCTTCCCCTGTTTCATGGTCCCTAGCGTTGACCTGGTGTATCAGCTTCCTGGCCGCGTTGACCTTGTCTCCTCTTCCTTCTGAAATCGTAGCAGATGAAATAGTTTTGCTGACATGAAGTCTATTCAGGTTCCCTTGCCATTATTGACTAATTTCACCAATTTATCTTCTGCATGTAATCTAGAAGGGTTTAGTCAACCAACCGTGATGGTTCTTTCTTTCATAATCTCTCTCCTCAATTCATTAATCACACATTTACTAGACGAAATAAATTATTTTAAATAATATTTTTTAAGGAATAATGGAGATCGCTAATAGCCATAAATAGTTTCACGAAAATAACTGAAAACTTTCAAATTCCCGTAAAATCAGGCCCAGAACTCAGAGTCAACGTGATTCAGGCTTTTGGTGTCACGAGGCCCGGCCCATCGACATTACTGGAGGCTACTCTGCGTTAGTTGGACCCGGATCTGAGCCTGGATGTGATGAGATGGGTTGGGAATCAGCCCATTTAGGTTAATATCGGGTTTTTTTAATAGAAAAAGCCCGAACTTCTCCCCATTTGGGCCAGGCTTGAGAGTATTATGGATTACGAATCGGCCCTTTCCTCGTCATCAAATAAGGCTGCTCGTGTGTGTAATTGGGCCGTTGATGTCTTGTGGTCCAACGGCAGCGGACCGATCGGCCCAAATAAGGCAGCGGCGTCTTTGCTGGCCCAAATAAGATCCATTATGTAAGTAAATGGGCCGTGGCGCAATGTGGGCCGACAACAGCGGACCGTTCGGCCCAAATAAGGCCGCGTCTTGTCGGCCGAAATTACGTATTTTATGTACGTAATTGGGCCGTTGACGTGACGAATTGGTCAAGTTTGACGGAGCGAGTCGCCGTCTTCCCCAACCCGGCCCACTTCGTCCCCACCACCAACCGGCTGGATTTATTTATTCTCAACCCCTCAGTGGTGCCCCCCGACCTCTTCTCTCTCTCTTTCTCTCTCTCTCCCGACCTCTCTCTCTGTTCTCCTCCTTTGACCCGGAAGCTCTTTCTCTCTCCTCCCTCTCTCTCTCGGAGGGTCATCTCTTCTTCCTCAATCCTTCCATATCCGTGGTCCTGGTGCGGTAGGGCGACGGAGGAGGGGGAGAAGATCGGTGCGCAATCCCGTGGCTTCGAGAAAACCCTAGAAAGCGGAGGGGTGAAGGGCGGAGGCTGGCGCACAACGGTAGCTCCAGATCCGGCGTCCGAAGCGTCCAGATCCGGTCTGGTTTTAGGGCAGATCTGTGTTCCGCGTCTCCGTTTGCAGGATTCGCCCCCGCCGTTTGATATCTTTTCTGCGCCGGATGTTATTTCGATCGCCGTCCTGAGGAGGGCGAATAGAGAGGCGAAGAGGAAGCAGGCATGGCGGTGGAACCAAAGAGTGGCGAGGCGATCCAGATCAGGGAGGTGTGGGATGACAACCTCGAGGCGGAGTTCGCCCAGATCCGTGAGATCGTGGACGAGTACCCCTTTGTTGCTATGGATACGGAGTTTCCGGGAATCGTGCTGCGTCCGGTCGGCAGCTTCAAGACGAACTCGGAGTACAACTACCAGACGCTCAAGGCCAATGTTGACCTACTCAAGATGATCCAGCTAGGCCTCACTTTTTCTGACGAGCACGGTAACCTGCCCACCTGCGACGATGGCCGCCAGTGTATCTGGCAGTTTAACTTTAGGGAGTTCAACCCCCAGGAGGACGTCTTCGCCAGCGATTCTATTGAGCTTCTCCGTCAATCTGGCATCGACTTTAAGAAGAATACTGAGCAGGGCATTGATGCCCAGCGCTTCGGGGAGCTGTTGATGTCATCTGGCATCGTGCTTAATGATTCTGTGCACTGGGTGACCTTCCACAGTGGCTATGATTTTGGGTACCTCCTCAAATTGCTCACCTGCCAGAACCTTCCGGAGACCCAGGCTGGATTCTTCGAGTTGATCAACATTTACTTCCCCACTCTTTATGACGTCAAGCACATGATGAAGTTCTGCAACAGCCTCCATGGAGGCTTGAACAAGCTTGCCGAGCTACTGGATGTTGAGAGGGTGGGAATCTGCCATCAAGCGGGGTCAGATAGCTTGCTCACGTCGTCAGCATTCAGGAAGCTGAAGGAATTGTTCTTCAATGGGTCCACTGAGAAATATGCTGGTGTTCTGTATGGTCTTGGTGTTGAGGCCGGACAAAATACGTGTTGAAAAGTTTAAGATACCAAGAAATAATAATTATGCACCTTTGAATACATGCTGGTCCATTCTTTGCCATTCCTGTGTACCTGAAATCAATTTTCACAACGGGCAGGTTCCTACTGCCTTTTTTCGTCCCTCCAAATCTATTTGCATGTTTTGATGCTTCCAACCACCTCCAAATTTATTTACCAGTGTGACATAAATAGTCTTCATTTAGGAGTCAGCCTCTTTGTTGTAAATTTTCTTGAGGCAGTCAGATTCCCATGATTTTATTTGGTGATGGTTAGCTTCGCAGAAATCCTCTATTTTTACCTCTTGAGATCTCCATTCGCCCACAGTTCATCCGTTGACTATTTGCTTGCCGTGAACAATGTTGATCAAGGAGTGGGCTTCCTTTTTATTGAGTTTTTGAGACTGTTGGATGCCTACGATCTATTAAATTGACTGTCATTTAATTGATTTCTTTCTCACATGATCACCATTCGAAGCGATATATTCTTCCCATGAGAACCATGTTCATTCATCTAGCAATTGTACATTTTTTTCAGTCCTGTTTCTGGCTTCACATGGAATAACATGGATATCAATGATTATCTCAGTATGCTGATGAACACTCTGACTTCTTCTTCGTGAGACTAATTTCTGTCATAAATACGATGGTGCCTTTTGTCTTCTTCGTGAGACTAATTTCTATTTACGTGCATGACAGCGAGAATTAGATACTTCTGACTTCTCTTAGTGCCTTTGCAGAACCCGCCTAACTGTGATCAGAAGACACAGGGGGCAATCGAGATTATTTTATTATAAAATTATTTGGAACGTTTTGACATTTCTCCCAATTCTGACCGCGTCCAGATTGTTTCTTTTGAAGATGGGCTCTGAAGCTTGTGGCACCATCCTTGACGGCAGCAGGCACAGGATCTGGTCAAACTTCTGGGATTCTCCGTGAGGGTAAGTTTTATGTTGCGTGATCCGTTGACTTGGTATGAACAGAATTTAGGTCGGAGCTCGTCTATTTTGCTCAAATTCATAAATGGGCAAGTGCCAGATTTTATCCGGTCCGAGAAAATCTTTCATTAAATCCGGGTAGGATGACTTACTGGTTTTATGATGCGTGATCCGTTGACTTGGTATGAACAGAATTTAGATCGGAGCTCGTCTATTTTGCTCAAGTTCATAAATGGGTCAGTGCCAGATTTTATCTCGTCCGAGATAATCTTTCATTAAATCCGTTGACTTTGGTCACTTACTAGTTTTGTCAATCAGAATGGTGGGTGGCTACTCTTAATTTTTTTTGCATCCCTTATGAATAAATCATGCTCCATTCATTGACTCTAAATATTTCCTTATGTGTCAAAAACACGGCATCCCAAAATCATGTTGCAGTTATGATATATTTCCTGTTTTTGATCAGATTTCACAATAAGTGGGCCAAAAACCCTAATGCGGCGGGACTACAAGGGTTTTAGGCCACTTATTGTCGAATCTGATCAAAAACGAGAAATTTATCATAACTGCAACATGATTTTGGGATGCCATGAGCAACCATTTGCTTTGCATTCATCCTCTTGCCTTGGAAGTGACCCAAGTAGATCGTCCTGGTTGCCTTAGAGGTACAGCTTAGCACGGATATTTCTTCTTAACTTCAGTGATCTCTCTCTCTCTCTCTAGCCTATTGGGTTTCAAAAGCGGAAATTTTCGGATCTATAAATAAATATTAGTGTATATATAAATAAAGTAATATAAATTAGAAATAATGTTCCTAGGAAATCCCCTGCACCTGGTGAAATCGGCAGAGCTGAATGGCGGCGGCCGAAAAAACTTGTTCACACGTTTTTCCTTCTGACTATCAATAAATATTTTATTTTCATTCCTTTCTAAGTGAGATCATGATTTTCCCCCGACGGCCTTCAATCCCAGTACCCATCCAACTTGCTGATCGGATCTCACCCGTCCGATTACTGACCCGCCATCTCCAACCTCTGGCTGTGGCTTGGAAAACGACGAGATAGAACAAGGTCGCCACCTACCGAGCTTCCTCCATTGTGGGAGGGTTGGGTTTCCTTGGGTCAAACTACAGAGGAAAGTCCACTTACTATTTATAGCATAATCTATATCTCCTCGAATAATTCAAACATATATATATATATATATATATATATATATATATATATTATACAAATATAGTTTTGGGGTCAATTAATCCAGGAAGACCTTCAAAATGGGAAATCATCGAAGAATCTAGAATGATAGAAGTCGGGTCAAATCCAGATCGCCTGCCTACCGAGCTTCCTCCATTGGGTTTCCTTGGGTCAAACTGGAGGAGAAAGTCCACCTACTATTTATACCACAATCTATACCATCCTCGAATGATTCAAATACATATATATCCAATTAGACCAGGTTATGGGGGTCGATCAGCTCGGGCAGTCACTCTAAATGGGAAATCACCGAAGAATCTGGAATGATGAAATCGCGTCAAACCCAGATCGCCCACCTATTGAGCTTCCTCCATTGTGGGAGGGTTGGGTTTCCTTGAGTCAAACTGCAGATGGAAGTCCACTTACTATTCCTATATCATCCTCTAAATGATTCAAAAATAATATATATATATATATATATTATCACCAATTAGACCAAGTTTTGGAGGTGGATTAACTCGGGAAGTCATTCAAAATGGGAGGTCACCAAAGAATCTGGAATGACGAAGTCGGGTCAAACCAGTTACCGGCTTCCGACAAGTTTGGAGTGAGACAGCGGGCTTGTTTGAGGCAATGGTTCAGCCTAGTCTCGCCTCCCGCCGGAGCACCTGGAAGAAGAAGAAGAAGATGGTGAGCTTGCTTGCCGGGGAGTCTAATCGGAGGCATCAACTGAGACGACTGAAAAACAGCTTCTGAATGGTGGGTTTGATACGATCAGAATCAAAATCTGATATTTGCCAACTTAAAAAAAAAGGAAGAACTCGATCATGGTAATATAGCCGTAGATTTCCAGAAATGTGAGAAATAAAAGCAAATATTTCCAGAAAAAAAAACAGTAATCAGAGGTAATGGAGTTACTGTTTCTGGATGCCCACTTGATATGATCGTAATCACAGGTTGATATTTATCCCAATTAAACGGACGAATTCAGCATTAAACAACAGAAAAAAATACAAATGCACCACAAAACAGAGATCTGGTTCGAAACTGATATGAAGAATTATCGGATGTTTTCTCCAGAAGATTAGTCAGGATATTCATCTTTATTTCTCACTTCCTCTCGTATGATGAGAGGATAACGGCAGGGATGAGAATTTAGTCAAAGTGATGAAGGCCCACTGAAAAGACGGATGGTTGCTCATACGTCATGGGGAGATCAAGCTTCTAGCTGCAAAGCCGACAAAGAGCAGCATGCCCATATTCGGGGAACGCTAATCAGGAGTTCAGAGCAGGTTCCACTTGATCTTGTCAGCCAACAGAGGATCATTTAGGTATTCTGAAGAGGATGTAACTGGTTTTTCAGGAAGGGTTTACTGACTACTTTCTTGTAAGCACATGAAATGCTGCATTTGTCCCTGATTTCTCCACGATCCCTGAGTTATATATGGAATTGGCTGTGTTTTTCAATGATTTACTTGTGAGGAACTTAAGGGCAGAAGCTACTGCTGGTTCTGACACCATTACTATTTCCTTACCTTTCTATAGAACAGCTAATCTGGCAGAATAATTTGAGAAAATGCAGAAAATGGATGCTAATTTATTTATTTTTTACAAAGCTTAGCAGGATACTTGATACAGAAAGGTGAGTAATAATCTGGGGGGGGAGGGGGGTCGGTCTGAACACACCTCTTCGGCAAACTTTATCAAAATGGTAGTACGCGGTCGCTGCTGCCCTTCCATCGGTACAAAGTGAGCCGTCACAACAGCCGGGAACCCAGAATTGTCAAGAACACCCTACAAAAAATCATGAAAGCCTTTAGATTTCTATCCATTTGTCAGCAGATTCAAAGGAGAACGGGGTTATAGCATGAGGCATTTACCCTTACGATCCCAGCTACAAATGCTCCACAATTGAATGCGCCCATGTCTTTTGGTATAGAAATAAACCTTTCGCAGTCAAATAAATAATTAGCTCAGCTTGTCGGTATGAACAACAGGATTATTTGAAAAAGCACACGAAGATCTGATTAGTTCATGTTGATACCTGTTCACGAGTAGTTCCTTCTCGCTGATCATGTATTCATCTTCATGCTCAGTTCCTTTCTCAAGTGAGTCGGCAACCTGCGATTAATCTGTCAGAAGCAAAGTATTCGACCCATTTGCAAAAAGGGTAAAGCATTCAAAGCTGGATTCTCCCACTATCAACGGATGACAAACTAGTTAAAAATGCTCCTTTTTGGATCTCTGATATCATAAATAGAATCAAGATACAAAGCTTTACAACGGATAATCAGATGTAAGATAGTTAAATTTATGCCAATATCTTTCCTGAAAACTATCGCGTACCTCCCAGATGCACATGTACTAGTATTCAATTTCTATTAAAAAATGGAACCCATAGCGCAAGCAAAATGTTGAATAGGACCACTTTAAATCAGGCAATTACCTTTCCCTTGCCTATTCACTCATGTTCAAATCAGTGGCAAAACCGGTAAAACTCTTATTGACGTGTGACTATTCTTTGTATAATGGTGTCAATACGTAATCCAGGACTTAACATCTCAAATTCCATATAAATAGTAAAAGAATCTCGAATATCCTCTCTCATCTGAGTGCATATTCAGCGCAATTTGACAATTTTTAAGGTGACTCTTACATTCTTTAAGACCTGCAGAGCGCATAAAATGACAGCTTCTTATTCATGTGAAAATACTAGTCAGAGGCACTGAAGTTCAGGTAAAAAGAAAGTAACTGCTTATGCTTCGTGAAAAAAACTTCAGAAGACAAGTAATACTGACCTTTCCAAAGAGCACCTTCCACACCGTACTATGTACAAAGGATAAAATTCCTAACAGTCGTGTCTCCCTCCTGTTTCCCTATGTCAGAAGTTTGAGACACAAGCAAAATGAAGAGAATTCTAGAATGGAAAAACGAGGAAAGAAAAAAAATCCATAAGAACAGTGAAAATTTAAAAATTCTTTTGAAACCAAAAGTTCGTAATCAAGCGCAAACAAGAAAAAACTAGATGCACAAATAGCAGACAGTGACTCAGAAAAAACGTATTAAAATGTTTTCTTTTCTACTTTGACTAGGAAAAGAAATGTTCAACGAGGAAAAAATATTTTTAAAACTGACTATGGTGAGAATCTCATGATGCAAAGATTTATCATTGAGTAAATCACGATTCGTTAATCCCACTATCAAGCACTATCAAAATTTGTGAAATGAAAAATAATAAAAATGCAAATATTTTCTATCTAAAAGTACACTGTTGTTTTCATGCTGAATTATCTAGGCTCCCCATCTGACCTGAGAGACCAGGAAGTGGGGAATGAGCCAGTTCTCTTTACTCAAGCATAGTTTACTGAGTTTCAGAGAATGAAATAAAATCACCACCATATTATAGACAGAAGATTTCTCCTCAACCCAATTCCCAATCTTCCTCCCAGTTTTTCAGTACTACCTGACCAGCACCAGGAGAGGAAGTCAATGCTAATTCTTCAGCAAATAATTCGCAAGGCCAAAAAAATTCAATAATCAACACAATAAGTTCTTGAAACGTGATGACAACCATTGATGCTCAATTTCATAGCAAGACTGAGACTGTACGTAGTGAAATATCAAAGCAAGATGAAATCTCAGCATCATATTAGGTGCCCACATTTCCTAGGCGGCTGTATTGATTTGATACCGTCATCGGTTTCATCATGTTTTAGAACTATAATATTTGATCATCAAGTTTGAAAGATCAGGTGGCAACAGAAAGCCAACATCATTGACTTGCTACAAGATTAGCCTCATCAAGGTATATAAAATAACTTCCAGAGAATATACACTAAAATGGTAAAACGTGGTATGTATTACTACTGAGTTCCTTGTAAGTTATAGCGAATTATTCTTTTGCTGACAATGCATCCAAGCTACCAAAATAGTACAAGATATCATGTCAAACAAGGTATACCTTCTCCCTATTGCAAAGGAGCTCGAGTACTCTAGCACCAACAGAATATCCTGCATCCTCTAGCCTGGACATTTAAGGGAGGGAGCATACATCATTTATATAAAAAGAATAATCAATTACTATCTCCCAAAAAGCTGAGCGGTTTGTTTTTTCAAAGCAACATTTTTCAGTCACATAAGGAGACTCTGAAAAGTCAGGTTCTAAAATGGCCTACACACCTGGTTTCCTAGTTAACAATGAAACCAACAAACTCTCTGGATCAAATCGAGACATGGGAAAACGATCAACCATGCAGACAAGTTAAGATTCAAATGCTTAAAAAACAGTGGTTAAGCAATAAAGCCAAGCAATCGCAATAAAATGATACTATAAAATTTTCTATTAGTTAGTGCTATCACATTACATAGAAATATGTACCAGTCGAAAATAACTCCTAGGACAAAAAAAATACATGGTACTAATGATTAAGAAAGGTGCAGAGTCAATTGGTTGTTACTTTCATCATTACCATCATTATACAAATCTTCTCATCAATCAAGAGGTTTATTCTGGACAACAAAGCCCTATGCATTCCAGAAATGTTAATGGGTATACAAGTTTCCCATAGAACCATCAAGGGAAGACAATGTTGGGGTAACATTGATAAGAAGCTTCAGTAAATGCACAGAGGTACAGATAAAGAAATAATAATAATAATAATAATAATGATAATAATAATAATAATAATAATAATGATGATGATGATGATAATAATAATAATAATAATAATAATAATAATAATAATAATAATAATAATAATAATAATAATAAGTCAGACTTGTAAGAAAAATACCTGCGCTCCAATTCTGCAATGTTGTCGACCTGTGTCTGATTGTATTGCACCATCTCAGAAAATAAGAATGCAAAGGCACTCAGACTAACCTGAAACAAAACGAATATTGATACAACATCTGAGATTCTCAATACGAATGTTAATAACAAGGCAAGAACCTTGATGGTACAGAAAAATGGTCAAAAGAAAAAAAAAGTTTATAAAAAGAAATTCTCCCGAGCCTTGCATTAGTCCTTACGAAATTAAACCTATGCTTCTAAATATGGGCCTACACCACTCATCTTAAATCGGTTTGGTGTAATAAATTAACACATTATTATAGTTGACGGTTCCTCTTTGGGTGAATACGTTCTGTTTATATTTTCTACATGAGAAAGCTTAAAAATCAGCTTGGATGTGAGGGCATGTGTCAGACAATCCCAAACTTGTGTTACAAAAGTCAACTTATGATTATATAGGTGTGCTCACTTTATTCATAGCGAATTGGTTCTGGGTTGGATGGCCCAATATTTCTAGCAAAAAGAAAGAAAAGGGAAAATTTCTCCTACAAGATCAAAATGCAGAACTTTATTAAGTCTATCCTAAAGCACAAAACATGGCATCAGACTTATGAGATGTCAAGTAGAACGAAATGGTCAATGAAATAAGAGATAGCATGCTAACCAAGAAAAAATAGGAAAAAATGGCACAGCCTACACAGGTAGGAAAATTCATTTTGCTCCTACTGCTGCATCACTGCATTGGAGATTTTGCCTGAAGAGGAAGGCTTTGGACGCTTATGTGGAAACCATTTTCTCGATTTTTGTTTATTATCCGAGTCCATTAATACCAATATTAATAGGTTTTGTGAAATGAGGTCTAACTATCCATTCCAGGTTACTTGAATTCGTCTCTTGAGAGCAGACAATAGAGGTCGGATCACCGACCAAAACAACATGTGGATAATTTTTTAGTAAAAAACCTATATAATCAGCCAAAGCATCCGAGTTAAACAAAATCACGTTCAAAACGTCAGTAGACGAGAAGGAACACAGTCTCCCCATTTCATTCAGTGTTTCAATTACAGAGAGCCGATTTCATCCCCTCAGCCGTCACGCACGGCAGATCCAGCAGAAATCACGCAAAACAATACCTCACAGCGAATGGCGTCTTCCAGGGCGACAGAGAAAAACATGACAAAAATAAATCAGAAAGTGCAGGAAAGGAAGAGAACAGAGATGAAGCGACTTCTACCTCCTGCTTTCCCCTGCTGAGGGGCTTCTCGAGGACGTTCGAGTACTGCTTGATCTTCCCCACCCCGATCATCGTCTCCCTGGTGCCGCCCCGCTGAGCGATCGTTCTCTCCCCCCCACCTCCCTCTCCTCGTCACTGCGGGAACTTTCTCGGACTCTGCGGGGTCCATTCATCCAACAAGGCAAAACAGTTCTACCCGAAATTAGATCCGCAAAATATCGGTTCGGTCGGGTCCACGTGATTCATACGACCCACCGACAGATCCACGTGATTCCCCGGTGTCTTATTCGGGGGAGGGCGGAATCGGGTCGCCCACCCACCGAGCCGATCCAGATCGGGAACGGATCGTCCGAGTCGGTAGAAAAGGACATAAAAAAAATAACATGATAAATGGGTTTGAACGCAGGCATCAGTTATTAATTACGCTGAGGAAAATGACATGGAATAAACTCAAATATATTATTATAATCTGTCATAATCAACGATGAATTTAAATGGCAGAGAAAATAACATTAAAAAGTATATTTATAATATTAAAAAATGAGTCGTCCTTGACAAATCCCGGAGAAGCTCTGACCGCAATCAAGGTGGCATAAGTGATATGTTTTTAAGAAAAATGCGTTTTAGGACAATTGTACAGAGATGATTTGCGGAATCGGCCAGAATCTGACCGAACTCGGTATTCCCCTTCCTTTGTGGGCCCCCGTTCAGACTCGGGTCCGCAAGTGGGTTTCCGAGTCGTCGCCGATTTGGCCGCCTCCCACTCAGAAAACTGAAGGCACTAATAACCGAATATGCCCTCTCTCTCTCTCAACCAAAGCGACCTCAACCCCGAAGCTTCTTCCCCTCCCTCTCTCCTCCCTTCCCCGTCGGTCCTCTCAGGAGAGGAACGGCGGCAGAAGGCGCTCAAAGCGTCGTCCACCGCCTGGTCTTCTTGGGATTCGCCGCCGGAGATCAGGGAGGAGGTCTCCGATGGCGGGAAGGCCGAGTCTCGGGTACCTGATCCTCGTCGTCTTCGTCTTCCTCCTCCCAATGCGGGGATGCCGAGCAGAGGCGCCTTGTTCCGAGGGGAACTCGTCGGTGGTGGGATTCGAGTCGGAGCTTGTCATGGTGCAGCATCAGGTCCGCGGGGTGTTCCGCGTGGTCGACGGGTGCTCCTTCTCTGTCCGCGAGTTCGATATGCTGGAGGGATCCGGGGAGGTGAGGTGGTGGGGCGCCACCGGCGAGGATTTTGAGAATATGACTCAGGGGTTCGAGATCTCTGATCTGGTGCTCAATCGAACCTACCGGAACGACACGCTCATCGTCCGGCTGATGAACAAAACGTGGGACGAGATCAGGATCGTATCTGTCTGGGACAAGTCCACGGCGTCGGATTTCGGGCATGTCGTTCTGCAGAGCTCCGGGAATGAGTGGAGCTCGCCTCCGGCACCAAGTCCGAGTATCTCCCCTTCTCCGTCGCAATCTCCGGTTAGTACGGAAGAACAGAAGAAGAAGAAGCCAGTTCACCGGCAGCCGACCATGTTTGATAACTGCAGGTTCCTCTCTCCACAATTCCGCCTACGGTGGACCCTTGACTCCGACACAGATTCCGTTGACATAGGCCTCGAAGCGTCCGTCGGATCTCAGTACTATATGGCCTTCGGGTGGTCTCAACCAGGATCACAACCCCCCTCCATGATCCATGCTGATGTTGCAATCACAGGATTCACGGAAGAGGGCACCCCATTTGCAGATGACTACTACATCACGGCAAAAAGTGAATGTGGCCAAAACAAGGATGGCGATGTGCAGGGTGTATGCCCAGACACAGTTTATGATTCGGACCATGCTGGGCTAGTTAATAACACTAAACCTATCTACGGCCACAGGAAGGATGGAGTCTCCTTCATCCGTTACAATCGTCCTCTTGTGACTATTGATGAGACGTTCGATGTGGTGGTGCACAAGAATGATACTATGAATGTGATCTGGGCTCTTGGTAAGATTAGCCCACCCAATGCACTCCAAGGTTATTATCGTCCTCAAAAACATGGAGCATTACATGAGCAGTACGGGCACCTTAGTCTCAATTTGTCTCAAGCAATGAACGATTGCATTGGCCCATTGGATGCAGAAGACAAAGATGACCAAGATCTGATTACTGCCGATGGTAAGACTCCATTGGTAGTAGTTTCAGGACCTGCTCTTCGCTACCCAAACCCTCCCAGTCCTTCAAATGTCCTTTACATCAACAAGAAGGAAGCTCCTCTGTTGAGAGTTGAAAGGGGTGTCCCAGTAAAGTTCTCCATCCAAGCAGGACATAATGTAGCCCTTTACATAACATCTGATCCCATTGGAGGCAATGCAACTTCTCGAAATATCTCTGAGGTGGTATATGCTGGTGGACCAGATGCCGAAGGCGTTCCTGCCACCCCAAAAGAGCTTGTTTGGTTACCTGATAGGAAGACTCCAGACCAGGTTTATTATCAATCTTTATTTGAGAAGAAGATGGGGTGGAAAATTCAAGTGGTGGATGGAGGTCTCTCGGACATGTACCATAACAGTGTCTTCTTGGATGATCAGCAAGTTACTCTGTTCTGGACTCTCTCTGAAGGTTCAATTTCACTAGCAGCTCGAGGAGAGAAAAAAAGTGGCTATCTTGCCATTGGCTTTGGTAGCGAGATGCGACACAGCTTTGCATATGTGGGTTGGGTGGATGAAAGTGGGAAGCCCCATGTGAACACGTACTGGATAGATGGGAGAGATGCATCTAGTTTGCATCCAACTTCTGAAAACCTGACCGATGTGAGATGCAAAACGGAAAATGGTATGATTACTTTTGAGTTCACTCGCCCATTCTCACCTTCATGTAGTGGAAGAATTGAATGTCAGAATGTTATTGAACCAGTAGCTCCGTTAAGAGTTATCTGGGCCATGGGTGCCCTATGGTCGGAGGATAATTTGAGCGAGAGAAATATGCATTCACTTACTAGCACGAGGTCAATGAGGGTCATGCTGATGCACGGTTCAGCTGAGGCAGAACAGGATTTACGTCCAGTTTTGGCTGTTCATGGGTTCATGATGTTTGTTGCATGGGGTATGCTGCTCCCTGGTGGAATTTTGGCTGCAAGGTACTTAAAACATGTGAAAGGTGACGGGTGGTTTAAGATACATGTCTACCTGCAATATTCTGGGATTTCTATCATGCTACTTGGAGTACTTTTTGCTGCTGCAGAACTCCGGGGTTTCTATATAAGCTCCTTGCATGTTAAATTTGGCATCACTGCTTTAATACTGGCATGTGCGCAGCCTATAAATGCATATTTAAGACCTAAGAAGCCAGTCAATGGAGAAAGTACTTCATCAAAGAGAATGCTTTGGGAATATTTTCATATTATCACTGGAAGATGCGCAGTTGTTGTTGGAATTGCGTCCCTTATCAGTGGGATGAAGCACCTGGGAGATAGGTATGGTGGTGAAAATGCTGAAGGACTTAATTGGGCATTAATCCTTTGGTTTTTGGTCGGTGCGTTGGTCGTTGTATACTTGGAGTACTCAGAAAGAAAGCGCAGGATGATAGATAGGAGCTCTTTAAGAGGCAACTGGGTGTTAGGAAACGAGGAAGATGATTCAGCTGACCTCTTGCATCCGAAAAGAATATTTTCTGAATCAGAGAACCAGACGTCTGGCGGAATGGAGGTGCAGCTTGAGCCCCTTCACAGATAGACAAGCGTCTTCTATGATTGTGTATCTCTTGTTACATACTCATGATACCTCTGTTTTAACATGAAAATTTCTGCACTTTTCTCCTGGCAATTGATGCCATGATGTTCTGAATGAGCGTGGGGAAAATACACTTGAGAACAAACTTTTAGCGGCTACTTTGATGTGCTGGGGCATCGGGGTGGAGAGGTTTATTTATCTCCTAACAGGCTGATCAATGCATGTAGTTTGTATATGTAATACAAACATGAAACACTGAAGAATGATGAAATGGTTCACTTTTGTATGTGATGATTAAATCGGCCAGAGAGCGATTGCATCTTCCACCAGTACTTCAAGAAACTTAGCCTCATATCTAACTGTTGATGATAGAACTTTCTCGCTTTAAATGATGGATAAGTACTAATTTTTTTTTCTATTGATGCATGCCAGAGTTTTTCCAGCAGGTGCTTCTTCTGCTGGTGACGATTTCTTTCCAAGTAAGATTATAGATTTATTTTGCCAAATTTATCTGGATATCACATAACCATAGTTTCATTAAGGCCAAATGATATCAATTAACCATAGTTTCATGGCTCAGTTCTTGAGAGACAATATAAAGTTATAGTCCACTTGAATCAATCGTGCGAAATTTCCTTCTTGGGTTATAAAAAAAATTGGACTTTTTTTCATCACAGTCTACACAACAGTGTGCCAAATGTTTCCTTCCATTGGATTATGCAGCAACTATCATTGTTAGGTGGCATGCTAATGCACCCAGACTGATATGTTATATCACCTAACATCATCCACGCGTGTCTATGATTCTTGATATGAAGCACAGAAACACCTGTTCAGATTGAGTAATTTTGTAGTTTCTATCATGATCCTGGATGACACAGTGTGCTATTGTTTTGCTATAATGGGTATTTTATTTCATATAAAATCATATGATCAATAAATAGATGTTTACTAGGATCTTATGGATTGTTGACAATAAGACCAAAGTTTTAGATGTGGAATGGCTGTCGTGGCAGCTCGAATCTTTCTGTCCTGTGAAGATCCTCTGCTGATGAGGTAATAAACAGGAGGAGCATCAAAGGCGATTTATATTCAGTAAAACGGAGTAATGTGACTTTAGTTCGTTATGATGATATATAAATCAACACAAGGAGGAAAATATCAGAAATATAGATTTTTTATTTTTTTAAAATTTATTTGTGAGATAATTTTCAATGGAATCATTTTGAGATTTTTTTCGAACATTATGCAAATGATAGTCTCATAATGTCTGCATCTGATCTCTGAATGATCAAGGTTTTTTTTTTTTTTCCTTTTTTTTCTTATGTGTTCATGTAATATATATGGTTAGTATGCTCATCTGTAGCTATATACGTATTGACCCTCAGCTGAGGCATCTTGTTTCCTGAGACAGCATGGTTGACTAAATGCCCATTATTGGTGACCTGACCGTTGACTTCCTCTGGGCATCATAGTGTGTGGTGGGTCGCAGTTCCCTGAAGAACACCCTTTCAAGATTGAGGATGTACATAGATATTTCTATTTTTGTCATGTTTACCCTATTTGTGTACGATTTGCTAAAAATGGCCGGCAAATGTGATTTCTCTGGGCTTCTATTCATTGGTTCCAACGGGATCTCGCCACGTCACCTCTTCTTTTCCCCCCATTTTCTGTAATTTTTACTCGATCTTTAATATCCACTTCCTGTCCCGTTTTCATTTAACTTGATAATATAATTTTTTTTTTTTAAAAAGAGACCTGTATGTGTGTGTGTGTGTGTCTCTCTCTCTCTCTCTCTCTCTCTCTCTCCCTCCCTCTCTCTCTGTGTGGGGTATGTTTCTAGAGAAAACCCCGAGCTTGGGCTTAACATAATGTGGGCCTATGAGGCCCATTTATACTCATTGTGGGGCCCGCGGTGTCCACTTGAATAGGAAGGGCGTTGAATCGTCGTTTTTGTCTAGGCGCCTGTGGGTGGTTACGGAGATGACAAGCGAAGGATGGAGCAGTGCGGCAGGCGATGACCTACACGGATTCTCCAGATCTCGCGTAGCCACCGTCGATCTCCCTGTTTCACCCTCTGGACCGTCGAGGTAGATCGGTTTGGCGGAGGGGCGAGGCGCGGGGCCAGCGAAAGTTCATCGCTGCTTGAGATTCGCCGGAGGGGCGAACCTCTGCCGTGTCGTCCAAAGGTGGTGGCTGCGTTGTGAACAGGGTAGTAGAGGCATCGGAGGAGCTTTGGATCTAGGAGGGAGAAAGGTGGTGAGATCGAGATGCCGATGGGAGGTACGCATGAGCACCAGCGGCAGTGTGTTCCGTGGAGGAGGCCGCCATGGAGGAGCACGTTGATTGCGCAGGTTCTGCTCTTCGTTGCGCTTTATGGTGCGCTCAGCATTGGGAGGACTCAGATGCCTCGAAGCGGAGACGAGGAGAGCGGCTACATAAGTATGACAAGCAGACACCGCGACCTGTACTTCATTAGCGTGGGGGGAGGCTCGAGACCTCGCGACCAGCAGATGCAGCTCCTCCGGCAGGTCTAAGCTCCTCGGACTTGTATTACTATTTATGTGTTTCTGATATGAGATGTATGATTCTCAGTCTCGTTTCGTTTATTTTAGTTTAGTTGACTTTCAAATATCTTCTGATTTCCGGCAGGAGACTCTTTTCTGCTTTAATTGCTGCTTTCTTTTGGTATAGTGGGTTTTGACACTTTCCTCCTTTTTTTTCTTTTCTGAGTAAGATGGAAAACATTGCGAGAACGTTCAAAGTGGAGTTCGTAGTGAATCTCAGTGAGCTGGGGAAGAAGGATCCACTCGTACAGAATGTAAGCTCTCCATTTCAAGCATTCAGAGATTCTGAATCTGAAAGGCTTTTTTGATGATTATCTATGGCGTGCCTGGTGAAAATCAAAACCGCACACAATCTAATCTCTTAGTCAAATATTTTGGGTTGAATTCTTTGCTATTATCTGCTTGTGCATAATAATCACGCATATCTAGATGAAATCATACATTGAAACCGAAACGTACCATGTAATCGAATATCATGGATCTAATGTTTTATTACGGACTAAATAATATGGATTTTATGCCTAATAGTTACAGGGGATCCAGTAGAAATTATAGATAATAACGGAACTAATTACCTTATCACATATTATATATTGGGTTTTTAAACAATTGCAATTTTGTCCTTCCAGGTCTCATTTTATTTCCCACATCTGAGGGTTCCGTGGTAAGTCACTCCCTTGCCAAGGAGAGCCTAACGTTTCCTTTGAATCAGATTCTCAACCCATGCTCATAAGAACGAGAAAACTTGTGCTTCTTCGGTCTTAAATAGGCATGTATGGCTTGCTTTTAGGTATGCTACTTCAGTTTCATCAGAAAGAGGAAGTGCTTGTTTCTTGAGGAAAATTAAATCGCCTCGCGGCCACACATTAGATCTCATCGGATTGGATACCGGATTGTGGCAGGTAACCAATCAACCAACAAATATGCTGGTATACTATACTAAATCTTATTTTCTCTGGATGTCATAGTTTTTTTTCGTGGTGAAGTCCCATAAAAGGAATTCAGTCATATGTAGCGCAGCTTTTTCTCTGACTGTAGATAATATACGGCCAGTTTTTCGCAAAAAAAATCATTGAAGGAGGAGATGATGGCCATGTTCTTCCCCATGTTCCTTGTATCCAAAGTTTTCCATAAGAAGCTAACATCATAATGGAATTTCAAAGTATTTTGCAAAACACAATCTCTATGATGTTTACGTTGAAGATCTGAGTAAATGACGATGAAACAGGACCTTCGTGTGACGATAAAACTTCCTTGGTGTATCTACTATTTTACTATTCATTATGTTAATTCCGATTATTTTATGCCCGATTGCCACAAACATACATGTACAAGAAATAAAACGAATTAACCCCATTTAGATGTTGGTATTTTTATTTTTTCGTTTTATCTTTTTTTATACATAAAATAAATTGACCCAAGATCTTCTAATCTCCCCTCAAAATGATTAGGAATCAGGCCCGGGCAGTCCAGGCTAAATTCCACAATCCTTGTTGATTACTAAATATTAATGAATATTCCAATGATTATCACCTCTCGTGCTACAAACTTAAACTCGGGAGAGTTTTGCTTTTTCTGGCTCCAAGAGTTTTATATCATAATCATACACTCATTATCTCTCTAGAATCCACTGGGTTGTTGTCCAAAGTGACCAAAATACCCTGAATTTAATATCGAATAACCTCTATAAAAATATTAAATAAAAATGATCTGCCTACTAGAAAACTTTTAAACTACCTGCCACAAGACCAAACAAAAGTGCTATTTTATTCTCTATTTTTTTTATGCAGAAGCTACATATTTACCTGCAGTGGTACCTTGAAATTTTTTTGGCCTCCATTTCGCATAAGATTTCAGGTTATTTTTATTTTATTTTATTTCCTAAAACGGAAATTATTGTGGATCTCTATTTCTGAGAATGAGTAAGATTAATCAACCATAGTGAAATAAGTCATCTTCCATCATTGCTTCTCACAAGTGATTTTCTTGGGAACTTGAAGGCTTCTTCGTGCAGTGAAGATCTAATGAAGCAACAGCGTTGGCTTGCCAGAACTTTAGCAGCGATAGACAGCACCTGGTATGGAACGAATTTCTTGATCGGTTTTTTTTCCCATTTTTTTTTCTTGAATTGGAAATAAAATAAAATCCACCTTCTTTTCTCTTGATTTCAGTTCATGTCGGAAACATTCTCCCCCCCCCTCTGTTTCCACCTTCTTGGATCATTCCTGTTTGGGAAATGAACCCATATCCCAACCACCATATAATCAGATGATTTCCGTACCACTTTGGTCAGCGGATCTGTTCTGGGCCAGAATCACATCGAAGATTTCCACAGCTTTGAGCTCATTTTTGGTTCATCCAGGCGCGTGGTGGTTGGCTTCCACTCGCTGGCCGCAGGCTGCGGAGAAGGGCATGCGGCAGAGAAGACGACGAGCTCCTACCAGCGCAGCCTGCGTCAGCTCCTCTTGGAGAACAGAGTGGTAAGCCGGAGATGCCGCCTGTGGGCCCTTGCGAGGCTTCCATGGAACCTTACTCGGCTTTTCTTCTCTTCAGAATGTTTACCTGAGCGGCCAGTGCTGTGGCGGTGATCGTCCCCCTCAATCGGGTCTCTCGTTCATCCATAGCTGCGGTTCCCACAGCCCATACAGGTCAACCCCTCGCGCTGAAATTTCTCCATAAGTCGCGTTTCTGAATGCTCTCTTCTTCTTCTTCAGAGGAACTGGCGACGGTTTTCATCTCCATGGGTTCAGCCCGTTGAAAATCGTGAGTCAACCCGCCACTCATGGCAGAAATACATGTATATTTTTTTCTCTTGTGATTCTGCCCCTCTCATGGTCGGCGGGGATGGGTTTCTGTGGCCAGGAATCCTACTTCATCGACTCAAACGGCGATATAACTTCCAGATCCAGAGTTCACCAGTGGGGAAGGGAGGTCGCGTGATCCATCATCATCTACCCATCACCAAGGGTTCGGATCATCTCTCCCTTCTTGCTCCTCCATCCTCCTAGGGTTTTAGGATTCCTCAGCAGCCCTCCCTGATGTCGGTGGCTGTTCTTGAGGGGATCTGCCCTCAGCAGCCCACCGCCCTTCACTTAGAGCACGTCTCATTAGGGTTTCGTGATCCATCGGTGGATTAGGGTCTGTCCTTATTTTCTTATCCTTCATTCGTGTCTGATCAAGATTGGATTTCGTCAAGTCGTCTCCCAATAAGGTCTCGATAGGATCTAACCCTAGTCTCATGAATACCCACGTGGCGTCCTCTCTTTCTCTCTGTCTCTCTCTCTCCTCGCCCGTTCTCTGGTTCAAAAAGGACCTCAGATTCTCCGTAGGGGATGCCCAGGTCGGCATCATTGCGCCATTTGATCATGAGTGCCCATCCCCAACCTCCCCTGCCACTCAGAGAGAGAGGGGGGGGCCGGGCCGGGGAAAAACGGCCTGGGCCGAGTTCTCGGGTTAAACGCCCCGTTGACGGACACAACTATTAATCTCTCAGTCTCTCTTGCTCACTCACTCGTTCTGTCTGTGTTTCAGCAAAGAGCCAAAAGACCAATAACGGAGACCAGAACGTGGCAGAAAACCCAGAAACAGAAGAGAACACGTGACGGCCAGTTTTAACGTCTCTCTTCCGTCATCCCCTTCGCCACTCAAACAAGCAGGAAACAGGAAGAGTAGCAGCGAGCAAGCCACAGAGAGAGAGACAGACAGCGGGAGAGGAAATGCTGGCGCCTGCAACCCTCGTCGTCCTCCTCCTCGCCGTCTTCCCAGGGCAAGGGGAGACCAGCCCAGCGGCGGCGCCGCCGCTGGCCTCCTTCCCAAGAGCGCCACCGCCTGCGCCGGCACAGGCGGAGTCGGGGGCGGAGAAGACCCAGGCGGCGGCCTACACGACACACTTCTTCCCCCAGCAGCTCGACCACTTCACCTTCCGGCCCGCTGCGTCGAGAATCTTCCACCAGAAGTACCTCGTCAACGACCGCCACTGGGACCGCCGCAGCGCCGCTCCCATCTTCGTCTACACCGGCAACGAGGGCAACATCGAGTGGTTCGCAGAGAATACCGGCTTCCTCCTCGACATCGCCCCCAAGTTCCGGGCCATGCTGGTCTTCATCGAGGTGAGCTCCTCTCATGGCGCAACAAGCCGATGGAGGCTTCTTTTCTGAACTGGAGCGACTGGTTTCAGCATAGATTCTACGGCGGCTCCAAGCCCTTCGGGAAGGACTTGTACAGATCGCCGGAGGAGCTCGGATACCTGAGCTCGGCGCAGGCGCTGGCGGACTTCGCCGTCCTCATCAGGAGCTTGAAGAAGAACCTGACGGCGGAGGCCTCACCGGTGGTTGTCTTCGGCGGCTCCTACGGCGGAAGTGAGGAGCCTCTGATTCTTTCTTCTGTTTCCTCGCCTCTTTCTCTCTCTACATCTCTTTCTCTCTCTCTCAATTTCAGTGCTGGCGGCGTGGTTCAGGCTAAAATATCCCCACATAGCCATTGGGGCTGTGGCTTCGTCGGCTCCCATCCTGTATTTTGATGATATAACTCCGTCCAGCAGCTTCTACGATGGCGTCTCAGAGGACTTCAAGGTACATCGATAGTCCATTCTCTCTCTCTCTCTCTCTCTCTCTCTCTGGAATCTAATGCCTCTCTCTGCATCAATCTCTAAAAGGGTGAAAGCTCGAACTGCTTCGAGGTCATAAAGGGTAGCTGGGAGGAGCTGCTGGCGAAATCCTACCAGAAGGAAGGCATGGCGGAGATCAGCAAGATGTTCAAACCCTGCAAGTACGGAACACCCTCTCTCTCTCTCTCTCTCTCTCCCTTGTTTTCTGAGACAAGTCAAGTTAAGGTAGAACAAGGGGTTACAGAGATTTCGAAGTTCTGACATGACCAATGGCTGCTGCTGCGTTGCTGCAGGCCTCTTCACTCCGTCTACTCAGCTCGGGACTGGCTCTGGTCGGCCTTCGTCTACACCGCCATGGTGGACTATCCTACTCCGGCCAACTTCATGAAACCCCTCCCCGCCTACCCCGTCAAAAAGGTTACCTGCCTCTTCTCTCTCTCTCTCTCTCTCTCTCTCTCTCTCTCTCTCTCTCTCTAATTTTTCTGTGTACAGATGTGCAAGATCATCGATGGGTTGCCGGCGGGGATGGACAGGCTGAGCAAGGCCATTGCGGCGGCGAGCTTATACTACAACTACACTGGCTCTGCGAAATGCTTCCAGATTGAGAACGAGACCGACGCTCATGGTCTCCACGGCTGGAGTTGGCAGGTCCTCTCTCTCTCTCTCTCTCTCTCTCTCTCTCCCTTGGCGGTGGTGGGATGTGACGGGAGGAGGTCTCCTCTGCGCAGACCTGCACGGAGATGGTGATGCCGATGAGCTCATCCAACGGAAGCATGTTCCCGGCGTTTGCCTACGACTACGCGGAGTTCGCTGCCTCCTGCAACGGGACTTATGGGGTCTCGCCGAGGCCTCACTGGATCACCACCGAGTACGGCGGTGAGGTGGGCCACCCCTCTTCTCTCTCCTCTTCTCTCTTCTTGTCTCCTCGTCTCTTCTTCTATCTCGTTCTGCTTCCGCATCTGGTTCCTGTGTGGGCAGAGGATCGAGAGGGTACTGAAGAGATTCGGGAGCAACATCGTCTTCTCCAACGGGATGAGGGATCCCTGGAGCAGAGGAGGGTGAGCCCACGCCCTTCTTCCCGGTCCTTCCTCTTCTCTCTCCTCCTTGACCTTCGGCTGGTCCTCTATGCAGCGTCCTCAGGAATATCTCCGCCACCGTTGTCGCTCTCGTAACCGAGAAGGGTAACCTCTCTCTCCTCTCCTTCATCTCTCCTTCCTCTCGCTCTCTCTCTCTCTCTCTATCTATCTAACTCTCTCCTCTCCATCTGTCTATCTATCTAACTCTCTCCTCTCCATCTGTCTATCTCTCTATTTTTTTCTCTCATTCTTTCCCTCTATCTATATCTCTCTCTCTCTCTCTCGCTATCTGACTCTCTCCCGTCCATCATCTCTCTTTCTCCCTCTCTCCCTCTCTCCCTCTCTCCATCTCTCTCTTTCTCTCCCTCTATCTATATACCTATCTCTCTCTCTCTCTCTCTAACTCTCTATTTATCTCTCTGTCTCTCTCTGTCTCTCTATTTATTTCTCTCTAACTCTCTATTTCTCTCTGTGTCTCTGTCTCTCTATTTATCTCTCTTATCTCTCAATTTATATCTCTTTCTATCTATTTATCTATCCATTTCTCTCTCTCTCTCTATTTATCTCTTTCTCTCTCTCTCTCTATTTATCTCTTTCTCTCTCTCTCTTATCTATCTATTTATCTCTCTCTCTATCTATCTATTTATCTATCTCTCTCTCTCTTATCTATCTATTTATCTCTCTCTATCAGTCTATTTATCTCTCTCATCTATCTATTTATCTCTCTCTCTTTCTACCTATTTATCTCTCTCTCTCTCTCGCTGACTATTGATCGCGTATCTTTCTCTCTATATACGTGGCAGGGGCGCATCACGTGGACTTTCGATCCGCCACTGAAGGCGACCCGGAATGGCTGACTCAGTTAAGGAGCCAAGAAGTGGGAATCCTTCAGAAATGGATCGACGAGTACCGACTCGGGTGACCTGCCCGAGTTCTGACTCGGGCTCTCTCTCTCTCTCTATCCCTGTCTCTCTCTATCTCTCTATCTCACTGAATGGGAGTGTGAACGCATGTGTTGGGGAATAATTAAATGAAAATAAAAGGTAAAGCTATAATAGAAAGACTGCTCGTCACCTAGGAAGGGGCGTTGACGAATCAGTCAGGATTGATTGATCCAGATAGATCCTCTTCATCGGGCTTTAAAAAACTGGGCCCAACTTTTATCTGGGCTTGCTATGGGCCTTAAAACGGGTCCACACTGGGCCCATCTTCCTTGCCACAGTCTGCCTCGTCCTTGCCGCGCACATTCCATCTCTCTCTCTCTCTCTCTCTCTCTTTCTCATACGTCGGAAGTCCCCTTCGCCTGGACATTTCAACTCTCTCTCTCTCTCTCTCTCTCTCACTCTTTCTCTCATAGGTCAGAGGTCCCATTCGCCTGGACTTTCAATGCTTCTCACTCTCTCTTTCTCTCCCCTACCCCATCTACCCCTTAGAGCCCTTTCCCGACGGAGTAAGATAAGACGGTGCCTGTGGGGGGTATCCGAGCCCAGCTCCAATATTCGTCGTTGCTCTCTCTCTCTCTCTCTCCTACACCATCTATCCCTTACAGCCCTCTGCCGATGGAATCAGATAAGACGCCTGTTGGGGAACCGAACCCAGCTTCCAATATACTTCGCTGCTCTCTTTCTACCCTTCTCCCTCTCTCTCTCTAAAGTTGACCTCTCCCTATCTCTCTCTCTCTCTCTCTCTTTCCTCCCTTCTCTTTCTCTCTCTCTCTCTCTCTCTTTCTCTCTCTAAAGCCACGCCGCATCGCCCTCACATGGTTTCTATCAGATCTAATCTACCGTCGGCGTCGTCCCTTGGTCTCAGGAGAGGATCGCGAACCGACATGGTCCGGCTACAATCGTCGTCATCATCACCCGTTGGGTTCCGATCGGCTGGTCCGGATTTCTCGTCGCCCACAGCGTTCACGGTGACTTCTGTAGGCCAGGTCAACCGCTTCCCCTTTACCATATGGATATAGAGATAGAGAGGGAGACTTTTCCACCATTTCATCAAAATAGATGATGATCTTCTTGATGGCGTGTACCTAATGGTGGGCCATTGCCCTACGACTTTGTGGGTTTTGTCAACCCCTCCCCTTTAGAGAGAGAGAGAGAAAGAGAGAGAGAGAGAGAGAGAGAGAGGGAAAGAGAGTTGTAGAGAGTGAGGAGATATTTCCAACATGTTCCTCGAGATGGACATTGATTATCTTCTTGCTGACGTGGATCAGATGGTGGACCGTAACTAGACGACTACTTTTACAATAAATGGGGATAAATTGATATTCTAGATTCTATCGAGGATATATGCGTAATTATTACGGTGGGTGCGTGACGCCGCCCCTGGTGCCGTCAGCCGGCATCTCCACCGCCACCGCCCAGCCACGTGGTGATGTGGAGAGGACAGGACAGCGAGCTGGTAAGATCGCTGCCGTTCATCGTGCATCTGTTCGTCGTGGAAGTAGATCTCGTAAATAAAGAGAGATTGAGGGTTTCTCTCAGCGTTGACTTGGACTTTTAGTGTGGCACGCTGACGATGGACCCCAGCCAATATAACAAAAGGAATTCGACGGCCGTGATTGGCCAGATTCCCGATTCCGGGCCCACCCACCCTCCTATACCCCCTTTTCCACAGCAGGAAGGGCAGATCCGTGTTCTTCTTCCTCACCATCTGGTCAATAACCCATACTCTCTCTCTCTCTCTCTCTCTCTGGAGATGAAGAAGTCCCAGGAGGTTCCTAAATAAGGGAATTTCTCATAGTTTTGGTTTAATCTTGGATCCCCTCAGAGCAAAATCTTCAGAATTGGAGAGCGTCTTCCAGGAACCTTCTTTCCCCAGGAATTGCTGGATCTCTCTCTCTCTCTCTCTCTCTCTCTCTCTCTCTCTCTCTCTCTCTTTCTCTCTCTTTCTCTCTCTATATCTCTCTAGGGGGGTAGGATATGATGGAGAAGCACGGTTTGAAAGGGAGAGGAGAGAAGAGAGAATGGGAGGAGGAGATCGTTGCGGTGGAGTCCAACAAGAGGCAGAAGAAGGTCCCCGCCCTCGCCAGGTTTGATTTCTCCCTCGTTCTCCCCTGTTTCTCTAGTAAATTATCTCCTTCTTCTCTCTTCTTGGCCGGATTTTGATGGGTTAGAACTCTTGTTCTCTCTCCTGCCCTACACAGTGTGATCGTAGAAGCTATGAAGCTGGATAGCCTCCAGAGGTTCTGCTCCACCCTGGAGCCTCTTCTCCGCCGGATTGTAAGTCGCTCTAAACCTCCACCGAAACCCACCCCTCTCTCTCTCATCTCTCTCTCTCTCTATATATCTATCTATCTATCTCTCTTATATGAGTTATTGGACCCTCTTTTCTCAGTGTAGAGAGAGAGAGAGAGAGAGACTCAATCCGCGCCGTTCTTGATGAGGAAAAATACTATTTTGACGAACTAAATTCCAAATTTCCTCTTCTTCTTTCTTTTAAGTGGAGTATTTATTTCTTCTCCATCTGAATCGAATCGAGTCATACGCGTGCTCTCTCATTCAAGTGCGCATTTCCGTGGATGAACAGGTCAGCGAAGAGGTGGAGCGCGCTATTGCAAAGATAGGCGCTGCAAAGCTCACATCAAGGTCCGGTGCCCTCTCTCTCTCTCTCTCTCTCTCTCTCTCTCTCTCTCTCTCTCTCTCTCTCTATTTATCTTATATTATGTCAATATTATATAAAGAAGGGTTTTTTATTGTGCCTATAAAAAAATTAAACGATGGATAATTTTCTGTATGTTTTGATGTTCCGTACGGGTCTCGATGAATTATTTTGGTTTTTATTATTCGGAGTATTTGTTGCTTGTCAGAATCTATTGAGATTACCAATTCACATTGTGATTATATAATATCAATAAACCCCCATTAGACCGATTTTAAATTGCTCTAAAAGATTGGGCCTCGAGAGGTTGATATTCATCGGTTTTTTATTATTTGGGGTATTTATTTTCGGATCGCATTTTTTTAACGAATAATTAATCGATTTTTTTTTGGAAAACTGAGGGAAATTAGAGATTCTATCACACCCATTTTGCCAGATGTTCTACGCAAAAAGCATCCAGAAATGGAAAATTATCCGATAAACTTCCTAAAATGGTTAGATATTCATCGAAAGGCATTATGAAATGGTCGATTTTCCGAGAAAAATGCCCCTGAAAAACGAAGTTTCGCTGTATTTATTCAATCAGTAGGAGAAATTGTTTAAATGAATTAGCTGATTTTATCTGACTGACCTGAAAAATAATTCGATTTTTATAAGGAAATGTAGACGATTGCTTCAAACCCATTTGCTTGAATGGTTAGATTTCCTATAAAAGTACCCGCAGAGCTGAAAAAGGTCAACCCATTTGCAAAATGTCACCATTTTACTTGAAAAAATATGCTAAAAATGCCCGTTGACAAAAGTTTCCGATTCTCGTCTAATAAATTCAGATGATTGCGACAAGAAAAAACGCCGATCTCGCCAAACCCAATGCACAAACATTTCAATCTTTCTCTCGAAAACAAATATTCATCCTAGTTCCTACTTCTGATGATATCCTACGAGTCTCCCGTTCTCACCCGGCTTCCTCGATCAGTCTGCATCAGTAGGGATGAATGTACTCTCTCTCTCTCTCTCTCTCTGTGCTCATTGGGGCCATGATGATCCATGCAGATCTTCGCCGGCGAGAATCGAAGGTTCCGGCGCGAGGAACCTCCGTCTGCGCTTCTCCTCGAGGATGCCTCGCCACCTCTTCACGGGGGGGAAGGTGGAGGGAGACCAGGGCCTGGCCATCCACGTGGTCCTCCAGGACGCCGATACCGGCGCAGTCGTCTCCACGGGGCCGGAGTCAACGGCGAAGCTCACCGTCGTCGTCCTCCAGGGGGACTTCACCGGGGAGGACGACGAGAACTGGACGGCGGAGCACTTCGAGAGCTTCGAAGTGAAGGAGAGGGAAGGAAAACGGCCGCTCCTCACCGGCGAGTTGCAGGTGGCCTTGAAAGCCGGCGTCGGAACCCTAGGAGAGTTCACCTTCACCGATAACTCGAGCTGGATCAAGAGCAGGAAGTTCCGGCTCGGGGCCAAAGTCGCCGGCGGCGGCGTTCGGATCCGGGAGGCCACGTCCGAGGCCTTCGCCGTGAAGGATCACAGAGGAGCGTGTAAGTTAATGGCGGGAGTGATCGTCATTCTGTCGTTTATTGGGAGTTTGGAGCTCTAATTGATCTGTAAATATGATCGCAGTGTACAAGAAGCACTACCCGCCGGCTCTGCACGACGAAGTGTGGAGGCTGAACAAGATTGCCAAGGACGGCGCGCTTCACAAGAAGCTGATCGACGCCCGGATTTACACCGTTGAGGACTTCCTCCGTCTTCTCGTCAGGGATTCCCACAAGCTGAGGACTGTAAGCACCTCCCTCTCTCTCTCTCTCTCTCTCTCTCTCTCTCTCCCTCCCTCCTCACCAAAAGCTCCGGCTGTGAAGCAGATCCTGGGCAGCGGGATGTCGCAGAAGATGTGGGAGAACATGGTGGAGCACGCCAAGACCTGCGTCCTCAGCGGCAAGCACTACGTCTACTACGCCGACGGCTCTGGCTGCCCCGGCGTCGTCTTCAACCACATCTGCGAGCTCCAGGGCCTCATCACCGGCGGCCAGTTCCTCCCCATCGACTCCCTCACCGACGCCCAGAAGGTCTCCGTTGACCACCTCGTCAAACGGGCCTACGACAACTGGCACCTCGTCGTCGAGTACGACGGCCACGTCCTCGTCAACTCCATCAACCCCCCCAACACCACCCAGAGGTCAATGTTCAGCCCTCCCGGGGGGGAGGACCCCTTCCTGTACGGGGCCGCCGGCGGCGCCTCCCCCTCGCAGGCCGCGGGGCTGGCTCTTGCGCCGCCGCAGACGGCGGCGCAAGGCTATGGCGAGGAATATGAGGACTTCATCTCGGAGGAGGAGATTCGGATGAGGACCTCGGAGATACTCGACAACGACGATGTGCAGAACCTGTTGAGCTCCTTTACCATGGAAGACGGTGGGTATCATTCCTACGAGGACGAATCCGTGGAAGAGGCGCAGGAAGAGGGGGGAGAAGGAGGAGGAGGAGGAGGAGTGATAGGGAGGAAGGGCAGCGGCAGGAGGGTGTTGGGGTGGCTCAAGCTCAAGGCGGCCTTCAGATGGGTGATCTTCGTCAGGAAGACGGCCGCCGCCAAGAGAGCTCGCCTCGAGGAGCTAGACTGATTCCTCTCTCTCCCTCTCTCTCTCCCCTGTCTCTCTCTCTCTACCTCTGTCTTCTGGATGGCTTGCGGTGTGAGATAGTTAGGGCATGTACAGGGAAAAAATAGAACCCCCTCTGTATTCATTACGTGCTGTTTTATAGCGTGGTTGCGCTAAGCATAGATTCTTGCTTACAATTTGATAGAATAATCCCATATTTTTTTGTTTAAAATAATAAATTAAACTAAATTAAAAATCAATAATTAAAAAATAATTAAAAATGCGGGTATAGCTTTTGCATGGTCCATGTCCGGTAAAAGGTGGTGGGTCTTAGCAAGTCGAGAGGTAGATTATATATATTTTTTCTATTTTATTTTTAAAAGGAAAAATATTAGTTTCCAAAACGAGAATAATAGATAAAATATGCATAAATAGAACAATCGGATAGCCAAGCAGGGTCTTCTCCCTCCGATTAATGGGATTCCGGATTCGGATACGAAGCGGGTCAGATGGGCCCGGGATTTCAAGAAGCTCAACTTAGTGTTCCTGAGAACGGAAGCCGGATTGGAAATTGATCCTCGGAAACGCTTCTTGGAATCGATTTTGGTTAACACTGCTGGGATGCTTCCGGTTATATAGAAATAAAAAAATACGTTTATTGTTATTATTATTAATTTTTAAAGTGTACGCAGAATCGGACGGCCCAAGTTATGACAGAGTAGCCAGAGAGAGAGAGAGATGGGCTTACAGCTTGTGAGGCCCATTTTTCAGAGTTACTATCTAGAGAGAGAGCAGCAGCAGCTTTTACGGATATCCAACGATTAAATGGCGTACCACATTAAAAAGAGATAGATAGAGAGAGAGAGAGAGAGAGAGAGAGAGAGAGAGAGAGAGAGAGAGAGAGAGAGAGAGAGAGAGAGCAACTTCCGTCATATAAGGCGAGTAAGGCGTCTGGTTAATGTGTTTTGATTCCTCTTTCCATACTTTGGAAGTGATCAAGATCTACGTTGACCTACTTCGTACCGTCGTAATAGGTTCCTAGTTAACCTTCCACATTCAGAGTTTGCTGTCTCCTCCCTCTGGATAACCGAAGTCGAGAGAGAGAGAGAGGGAGAGAGAGAGAGAAAGAGAGAAAGCTCTGCAGTTCGCTGAGAGTCGAGATCTGATATGAATAGGAAGAGAAGATGGTAGAGTTCTATACAACATAAATGTTGATGAGAGAGAAATCCGAAGAAAATAAAGCGGAGAAGGAGCGAGAATCGTCTCTCTCTCTAGAGCCTGAGCGTCAAGTCGATCTTCTTCACCTCCTCCTGCCCCGGTTTGACGCCACTCGCCGCGTCAACTCGATCATCCCCCCACCAGTAGCTTCCCGCGCGGAGAGATCCCTCGAACGCCGCCGCCGCCGCCGCCGCCGTGCGAACCCTCGAAGGGGCCGACGAGGCGGCGCCGCCACCGACGTTGAGCTCCTCCGCCATGGCGGACTGCCTCACGGCGAGCGATCCCTGCCAGCGTTGACCTCCGTAGAGCAAGCCCGCCGCCGCCGACTCGGACCATTGGGACTTTTGGAAGCCGAGGGCAAAGCCCCCGCGAAACGGCGGCGACCAGGAGCTCGTCAACGGCGCCGCCGCTATGTATCCGGCAACGGGGCCGCTGCCGGTGCCGCGGTGGCCGCGCTTGGCGAGGGTGCGCTCCCTCTTATGGGCATTCTGGTGGCCTCCGAGAGCCTGGGAGCTGTAGAACTTCCTCTGGCAGTAAAGGCACGGGAAGAGACGGGCCTCAGGGACTGGGAGCGCCGCCGTCATCTCGGCAAGCTCCGGGGAGGGCCTCTTCTCCGATGACTCCTCCTCCAGGCCGCAGAGAAGGTCGAGCTCCACCGCCATATCTCCGCCGCTTGCTCCGACAGCTTCAGCCGGGTTCATGGTGCAGGCTCGTCTTCCTCACGTGTGGACGATCGAAGAGGTATAAATAGAGAGAGGAATGGGAAATTAATGGCGGCAGCCAAATATGGAATGGTGCACTGTCTTTGTCTACTGTTACACGAAGGAGAAGCCCATAGGTCCTCTTCCAGGAAGAAGCTAACCAGGAAACCCTGGCGAAAAGATTCTCTCTCTCTCTCTCTCTCTCTCTCTCTTAATTGCAGAGATATCTACTGCGGAAGAGCCATGCACATCGTATCCCCTACCCTCTTAAGAATTAGTCGTAATTTCGCTCCCTCGACGCCGTCTGAGGCAGATCCCGCCACGCTGCACATTCAAGTCCATTCATGGGGAATTAATTGATTGAGGCTTCTTTCCTCTTGCACGTTCGATAAGATATATCCAAGTGAGCTAGAGAGAGAGAGAGAGAGAGAGAGAGAGAGAGAGAGAGAGGAGTTGAATGGGCGGATGTCTCGTATGTGTTCAAGGGGGGGGATGATGGATACTTCATGCACAATGAAAAATTAATACAGCTACTATAATTACTGCCTTTTATTTTATTAAAAATAATAAAATGAAAGAATATTAAAAAAAAAGGCACGGCTGATATTTCCTTATTTATTTCATATAATTAAAACTCAATAAAAAACGGCAGAAAATATTTTAATCTGAGAATGACTTCGAAGAAAAATGTAAAAATTATTTCCTACAAATTGGCTTTTTTAGTGTGAGATTGGACGTAGTTTACGAATGGGAAGGAGCTCGTCCAACAACGATCGAATGCTGGTTGCCATTTAAGGGTTTGGATGGGCTCATTCAACCGATACCATCTGGCCTTCATTGAGACGAAGGCGGAGAAAAACTGTGCTTGATTTGCCCACAGAATAATATAAATTATCATCTTATATCCGTGTACGTGGAAGCCTAAAGCCCATTATCCTGCCGTATGAACTTTTTCTACGAGCACCTCTCTCTCTCTCTCTCTCTCTCTCTCTCTTTCTCTCTCTGGGTGATGACAGCCTCTTAGGGAGCGGAAGATGTGTGCATAGATTGATTGATTGGTAGATGAATGATAGCTAGAGAGAGAGAGAGAGAGGCCACAGCCTGATAGTCGAAGAGGGGGGATGCCATTATGCCATTTTCTCCCCATAATTAGCAAGAAGAGGATGCTTTCCAGCCTTCAACGCAGACATGAATCGTGTCTGCCGAAGAAGGCCCATATAATCTCACTCTAAAATCTGCCCTCTCTTGAGGATCTTCTCTCATCAAACCAAGATATAAACGTAGATTCTGTCACCCTTTGTTAACATGAGAAATTAATTTCTCCCCTCTTTAGGAGGAAAAATAAATAAATTCGGCCTTTATATGCTTAATCTTCTCATTAATGCGAAACTAGAGTGAGGAGCATATGATCAATCTCATTCATTCATCATCCAAATCGTTCCTGAAGCATAAGCGTATCCCCCGGCGAATCCACCCACTTATACACCACAACGTGTAGAAGCCAGTTCAGAGACACAACAATCATACCATTTATAGATATTTAGATTACAAAATGAATGTGCAGAGATACCGAGGAAGGCGGACCCATTTTCTAAATACGGCGTGTTTCTTCCTCGCTTGAAAATGGCGGCGGCGCCTTTGTTTTTTTTTCCTCCACTTTTTTTTTTTTTTTTACTTTGACAACCAGTAGATCAGTATGAGAAATGTGCAGACAGAAGCAACGAGCGAGAGGATGATGGTGTCCATTGACTTCCTCCTTTTGATGGACGATAATATGTGGTTGACCTGCACCAGATGCAGCTGATAATGTCAAAACCACTGGGAGAAAAAGGGTTTTTTATTTTATTTTATAATAATCCCACGTAGGACGTCTGTTGCCAACGAGCCAGAGGGCAAAAGTCAACTCCCACGAGTCGGGGAAAAATCTAAATAAGATCATGGGGTTTGTTCTGTCAACGGGCCCACTCGATTCTGGTGGGCCCGATCAAGTAAGAAAACTTTTCCCAAGATGTTTAGTGCCGAGAAGGAAGTGATGGGCATACCGTGGGTAGGCGGCTGCTGACGTTGCTGAGCTTCGAGCCAATGCCACCGAAGGTCGAACGCTGAAGGACGAGCGACCCCAGCGTGGCCTGAGCTTGGGAGATCACATGGTCAACCTACAGAGTCAACACGCTATTAGATTTTTTTTTATATAAAAAAAAGCTTCGATAATATTCCTATAAAAGGATTCAAAACGAACGGAGCCAACAGAGATCGTGCGCAATCGGGTAACCCGGAATAGGAATCTATGGAGGGAAAGGGAAGACCACCCGGCCACCAAGAACCTCTCTCTATATGGGAGATTTATCTTCCAAGTAATTACTAGACCAGAGGTAGGCCCAATTGCTAATTTTAGGCCCATTATCCCTTTGGAACCCATTAAAAAAGGATCTTCTTTTTTTTTTTCAAATTGACGTCTCTTTCCTGTCACAGATCCTTTGAACTGCGCGTCCCCATGTCAGCAGTTGGGTTGGGTTAGAGAGAATGACTTACCTATAATAAGTAATGAAGCAGTGTCTCATCACTGTCACATCTCATCATCACGAGCATAAAATATTAAATACCATGCTGTTATGGACTTTAGTTGATTTAAATGGCACCAACTAAGGTAAATGTGAGAAATCAGGATTTAATCAGGAAATTTTGGCTGCATAGTTCTATTGATTCTGCAATTTAATACGTTTTCTGCATCTGGCTGAATGTGTATGGATGAAAAGCAGATTCAAGTGAGAGTAATCAAATCCATCGCATTATGTTCTGGGATATATAATCAGAAAGAGAGTGTATGTATACATACATGTCCTGAGTTGCGGTTGATAGCTGCCTGCTCTTTGAGGAGACCTTGCTCAGTCGAATCACCGTTTTCTTCGAGATCAAACCTCGTCCGATCAAAATCTCTAAAATCTTCAAGAAGTGATGCATGTTCTTGTTTGGCCCTCAAACTCGAGCGGAGCCGATAAAATTCCTGCACTTCGAGCCATATTTTAACTATATTAACGCACTTTCTCGTGAAATAAGTGGGCTACTTTCTCATTGAAAGGTGCATGTTATTGCCGACAATGGCATTCAATATCAAGGGGCCTGAAGCAAACTAAAGATCTTAGGCCTTGCCATCGTCCATTATAGGAGGACATAGATCTTCAAAACTTCGCAACTCTTCAATCAAACTTTCAGACTCCCATGTTTGCTAAGCATGATCAAGTGTTCAAAGAGACACAGACGATCTGGATCCCCCCTCCCCCAGACTACAGTTAATCGTAATGAGGTAAAGGTACTGTTAATGATCGTAGCTGTCTCCTAAGGTGGGTTGAGAGATCAATACTCTGAGTCATGCTAAGTCGTCAAAAAAATCACCTGAGTGAAGTCTTGGAGAATTTCTTGGTGACGGGTCAATGTATGAGACAAAAATTCTGAGCCTCCGGATGACATTAGAGATTGCATTTGCGAGTTTACTTGCTGAAGATGTTTGAGTAATCTATCTATCCCAGACTCAAGATCATCCCCAGAACCATCACCTCTGGTGGAAACCAATCTCCGGTAAGAATTCATCTGATCATCCAGCTGATCTTGAAGTTTCCGGGCCTGTGCACAGGGGAAAAATACAGATTCAAAAAATAGAAAACAGATAAATAAAACATTTAGCTCATTCTTCAAGCAACATTATTCTCTTAAGGAGAATCACGACGGACATCATGACAGAAAGCTAATGAGTTATGTGAATCAAGGGAACCACGGAACCACTTCAGAGTATAATAATTTTCAATCATAAGCAGACCACTGAGTTTGTATCTTCAATCATAAGTATGATAATCTGTGTACCACTGAAACTGAGGATGAGAGCCTGTGAGACAAGGGTCACTGCTTGTTACAATACGTACATCTTTCAACATAGAATACCAAATATTCATCGATAATAGAGAGACAATGTGCTGGGAAAACTTGAACTATGATCTTGGAACCGAATAGTCAATCAGCTATCCGTTGCACACTGATCGGAGTCTGGACAGGAGTTCCCTAAAATCCCACGAAGTTAAGATAGGTATGGCAGTCAATCGTTCAATGAATGCATGTCAGTAAGCCGGCAGTAAAAATGAATGAGCACGGCCAAGTCACCGAACTAACTGAGGAAGCATGAAGAGCAGGGGTAAAGATAAAAAGGCTAACGGACGGGACTAAATTAGAAACTTTGAGAGCAGGCAGCTCATCATGTTTGTTATACTTTAAATTCCAAAGAGGCCAGGGTCATAAGAATCGAATCACGTAACCTAGATCAGCCTCTAGACGGGAAAAAAAATCAGGTATATTCTATTTAAGGATGCATTTACATTTATGTAAAATGAATCAATAAAAAAAGGGTTAAAATAGGCTTAAAAAATGGCCTTTATCCCTATCGTTTTCCCATCTCAATCTTACTCTAGTCCTAGATAATAGTGAGCCGGATATGAATAGTGAATCGAAGCAACTATTGTAGCTAAAACATTTATCTTTACCAAAGTACAAGTAAATTTAGTGACTTTAGTTAATCTGACTAATACTCCACAGACAATGGCATCAGTGGTAGTATTATAGACTTTGTTCAACAATACCCAACGGGTCATATGTGAGCAGTTAAAATAGATGGCATAAAATGCCATCACCCCTTTAATTGGTGCAGCTTTGGACGCTTGGGGGCAATCCTCAAGCATCGTATTGGTACTTCAGCTCATTTCGGGCAAGAAAGATAGTGAGCTAGGCTGTGCCAACAGCAGCGGTAGAGATTCTCCTCCTCGCACTCATTCTCTCTCCATCTGCCCCTGGCAAGGCAGCTCGCCGGACAGTGCAAAGGCTTGAATTTCAAATTTTACAAACTTTTCCATCGGAATCAATCTATAAAAGCCATATCTATAATATTTGGGTAGGCCAATTATGTTTCTACAGGTAAAGATTATTAGGGATCAGGATCAAGACGAAAGAAGAAAATACTTATATTACTGAATAATGACGAAATGATGTTTCATGAGGAAATGATACAGAATAAATGCTGTTAAAAGATCTAAGTTAATGACGATAAAAAGGCGTGCTATGTAAAACTAAATTGATGCCAACATCGCATTTCAAGTATATATAACCTCACTCTCAGGAATTACGAACAAGAAACACGAAGCAATTCGCTTCATAGAAAACATATAGACAATATTCCACCAAGTTCACAAATATTGGTTCACATTTCTATTCTTCTAGCTCGAATGCGAGTTTCGCGTCATAATTGGATCTGGGATTTATTTCGACTCAAGTGAAGGGAATAATTTCCGGAATCCTCAACCCAGAACACGATCCCAAGTTCCTCGACCCCCAGATCAAGATTCAGGCCAAGCAATCAGGGAAGGTCAGAAGGAAGTCAAAACTCCGTGATGCTAACCCAAGGCGCAAACATCCCCCTGAGAGATATCGCATTGCTCCCTACCACCACCTTCCCATTGACAGAAACTGGCCGCCGGAGAAGGATTCTCTTCCTCGGAGCTCGATATCTAAGAGGAAGTAGAATTCCAAAAGAAGAAGAATTTCGAGAACGAATCAAACATTCAGAAGGCTTCCGGAAGACTACCTGCTTCCGCAGGGCGTCCCATGAAGTCGGCTGCATCTCCATGCTCCCCCTCGCTCCCCCCCCCCCTCCTCCTTTCCCGCGGGTCGCTCGGTAGATCCGACGTGCTGTGAAGAGACCAAGATGAACAGCGAAGTCGCAAAAAAGAGGCCGGGACAAGGTTCCATGACGTTTCAACCCCTCTCCGGTGTGCGTACGTTGCGCAATACACGCACATCAAGAGCGTCTTGATTGACAGCCAATAAAATAAACACGTGTGTTGGTCGAATTAGGTGGAGCCCACTTTAAGCGCACGTGTGACGCGAACCGTCGGTCGGACTGCCTCAGTTAATTGGGCCGGACCTGGCCCGGTCCAATAACTGAGCTTCCTCTCCGTCTCCGGCGAGGGGGGGAAGAGGGCGCCACCGCTACCCCCGCCGCCTCCGGCGCCGCCGGGGACAGCGAGAGAGAGAGAGAGAGAGAGAGAGAGAGAGAGAGAGAGAGAGAGAGAGAAGAAAGCCACGGGTTTAAACTGGGAAGCCCAATCACTATTAGAGAGAGAAAATCTGTTCGATCTTTCTTCCGCATTACTTTGTGAAATCGGGAGCAGACTGGGTAGAAGAAGAGCTCTGCGGGGGCGGAGCTCCTTCCTTCTTCTCTGCAGCCCCGCCGCCCTTCCGGCCCTTCTCGGCTACGCTCCCCTCCGAGATTCTCTTTGTCTCTTCTGCGATCACCTTCACGGCCTCCTCCAGAGCTTCCAGTCGATCCTTCACCTTCCCCATCTCCTGGTCGAGGGCTTCCTCCTCGGTCTGCTTCGTTCTCCCCTCTTCCTCCTCCCGCTTGGCTCTCTCTTCCTCCTCTGCCTTCTTCTTCACCTCCACCTCCTGGATGATGGGTTTCCCCGAAGAAACATATCGAACAATCAATCAAATCAGAAGAACCCAAACCAGGCAATGCTCTGATTTTCTGCCAAAAATAGAATAAAATTATATGCAATTAATTATTGCAGCATATACCCCAATAATTCTGGAAGTCAAGGACTGTGTAGGATCGTTCTACCAGAGTTATATCACTGTGATCCTGCAGTTTTTTCCCATAAAAGGAAACTAACGAATCATGGAAGAACTACTGCGCCCAAGAACATCATGGTTCAGTAGCCCATTTTCGAGCAAAGTATAAGCTTGGCTGGATCCTTACAAACCCGAGGAGAAAATGGTTTCCAAAAAGGGGACTGTGGCTAAAAGAGAACGATGATGAGCGAGCTCTGGGAAGAAGAAGAAGAAGAAGAGGAAGAAGAAGGGGATGTGGATCCTCCTGTTCGCAGTGTTCACCACACCAAATTCTCCGGTGTTGCTGGAACTCTTCAGGAGAGACTTCCACAAGCTATATTATTCTCTATTTCCTCCCCAAAACCAGAATCCCTGCAGGATGATCCAAGCAGAAACCTGCAGGATGATGATGGATGCTGAACTAAAAAAAAGCATCCAACAGGATCCCTGGCATTCATTCAATTCGACAAGCCAAAGAAAAACACTTACAGCAATCGATCGACGAGTATTCTCAATGAATTTGAGAGAAAGAGTGCATAAAGTTTCATGATCTTACTTACCGCCTCCATTCTTCGAATCTCGTAGCGCGCGTACTGAGCCACCAGATACACAGCTGCCACAAAAACCCTACTCAGCTTTGCAGAAAATGAAACCAGATCTGTACCCTAGCTGATAGGTACACATCCACGGCCTTCTGAAGTGGAAGAAAGAATTTGCCGATAAGCTCAAAATAAATCCCAGGGGCGCTGATTACTAGGGATAATGGGGGCGAGGAGAGAGATTTCAGGGAGTGGAGAGACCTAATGAAGGCATGCAGGCGAAAAACAGCTGCACCAGGTGGAAATCAAATCTGCTCCGAGAAGTCGGCAGCGACGATGATCAACAAAGAACAAGGAAAGACGTTAGATCATGAGTCGCGTCTACTCCTCGAAGAGAGGAGAAAGATAAAATGAAGAAGAGGACTGAGAACCACTGCACACACCCGAACTTCTTCTTGTCGGGAGCAGCCGTGAAGAGAATCCTGGCGGCGGTCGTAAAATCGAGATCGTGGATCTTACGGTACGCCTCCTCCTTCGTCATCCCCTCCGCCGCCGCTGCCGGCTTCACCGCCTTATTGACGTTCCCACCAGCGGCGGCGCAGAGGCCCCTCCCTCTGCGGCTGCCGAAGGAGAACTCCACCGACCAGCACCGGAGCCAACAGAGGCCTCCTCCTCGGAGTACGCCTCCGCTTGTTCCGATCATCTTCCCCTCATCTGCCTTCCCTCTATGCGGCGGCGCTCCGGCGATCCCGCGGCGGAGCGAGATGGGGAAGATGACCGAGGGCTGGCCAGACTGGGCCCCTTCAGAAGCTACTGTCCACTTTAACTGGATTTGCTCTTCATTGGGCTTATAATGTTTTGGGCTTCCTACCGGCCCATACTATTGGGCCTCTTTTTCCTATTTTCTTTTATTTAAACCCAAAAAACTCATATATATATATATGACGTCATAAATGTGCGGGGGATGCGTTTCGAGATAGTTGACCACATCCAGTCAACATCTGCATAGCTCAGGAGGAACCCAAAGTCAATACTCATTGACTTCCGGAAGCTTTTTCTCTTGAACTGGTCAGGCTAAAACCCATATCTTCGGCTAAATAAAATATATATTTTAATAATACCCATCCCACTGCGGGGCCCACTATGCTGTTCAATTGGGCTTTCCGATCATTATCCCAATAATTGACCCCTTATATAAAAAGGCTGGGACCGGGCCCAGGCCCGATCCTGCGTGGATAAAAAAAGCCCATATTTAAACTTTGGGCCGAATGGACATGAAAAAGCCGGTTCGGTACTGGGGCCAGTGGGTTAAATACAATAAAAATAGTAAATTGTGTGCATTTGTAAAATACCATACAGAGAAATTACCCCGAGGGGTTAAAAGAATGAAAATGGTAAATTGTATGAGAACCGGTGGAAAATGAGAAGTTTCATATCCACCCTCAACTCCTCCAGATGGAAATCAGAAGGGAGGAGCTCTCCAATTTCTGCAGCTCCTCTTCCTCGGCGCTCGCCCACTCCATGATCGACGAGCTTCTCCCTGACGAGGTCGCTGATGAGGAGGAGGAAGAAGACTCCGTCTTCTTCAGGCCCCACTTCTTCCATGATTTCCTCATCCCGCCGCCGTCTTCCTCCGATTTCTTCCCCTCGAACCGGAAGACGAACACGGCTTCCCCCAGATCGCCGGCGAAGCGGGAGGCGACGGCGGCGGCGGTGGCTGAGGGGTCCGGATTCCGGAGGAAGAGCCACTTGTGGACGTCCCAGGAGACGTGAATCGCGGCGGCGCCGCCCAGAAGCTCCACCTTCTCGCTCCCCCGGAACTTCCACTCCAGCTGGTTCACCTCCAGAATTATCTCCCCGTCCAGCGCCACACTAATCCTCCCGTCCCTTCCCCTCTCGGCGCCGCTCAGGTCCAGAAATATCTCCTTCTCCTGGTCGCCAATCTGAGCTCGGGTCCGGTAGGTCCTGCCGGAGTTGGTCAAGACGACGTGCTCCTTCTTCGAGAGGAGGACCGACCGCCTTCCATTAATGGGGCTCCTCCTGGATTTGGCCTTCCTGTGGGCCTCCGCTTCCATGTCCCCCACGACGAGGAACAGCTTGCCAGCGATGGAGATGGAGATGAAGTACCTGCTCGCCGGCTGGGGGCCGCCGCCGGCGGGGAAGCGGGCCTTTCTGAGGTCCCACGCGAAATCGACCACAAGTTTCTTTCTGTTGTCTTTTTGAATCGAACGGAATCTCTGCGTGCCCCGCCGCTTCCAGAGCAGCCATGGCCGGAGGCGGAAGCTGTGGCTGTCTTCCTCGCAGGCGGCGGCGGAGGCCGGAGAGACGGGGAAGAAGGAGGGAGCAGCGGCGGCGGGAGGAAGGTCGAGGTCAACGCGGAGGGAGAGACCCAGAGCAGTGCGGAACCAGGTGAACGCCGCCTCGCCGGCCTCGGTCTCGTAGACCGAGGTGGAGACGAGGGCCTCCGCTGGAGACCCCCCGGAGAGGTGCTCCTTGGGGGCGGCGCCTCCCCCGAAGCAGGTGGCGATGGGATCCTGCATGGACTTCTCTCCTATCCCCACGGCGGCGACGATGCGCAGAGCGAGCGAGCGAGCGAGCGAGCGAGCTAGAGAGAGAGAGAGAGAGTAACCAGATTTCTGTGGGAGAAAACTCGAGCTTTATACTTATTGCAGTGAGTTTTGCGGTGAAGCTTAAAACGTAGAGGAGGGCCCAAATCGATAGTGGTCACGGTAAGCCGTTGACATTGCTGGGATCTTTGACGATAGAAAGGTCAAAACCTTGCCAGACAACCATTGATAACTTGCCTTCCGGATAATGCATTGCGCCTGGGTCGTTTCAATCCGGCAAGAAGTAGTCATTCATGTAAATATCTGATTAGAATAGTAAGATATCTACTGGACCCGGTCAATGCGGCAACTTGCCTATTTGGAGAAACTTATTGTCATGTCTACGTCATAAAATAATGTTTAAATCGTATGTATTAAATAATTACGAAAGCCGTGTTTCTCAAAAGTCAAAGAAACACCTTATTTACGGTATAAAGGCATAAAAATACCCATACCAACTCAACGGCTAACGAATTGAATACCCACGTATAGCAGTAACGTTGTGTTCTTCACGGAAAGTGTGCCCCGTTGACCATATCAATTATCCCCTTGTATGGGGAAAAAGAGAGAAGTCAAAAGTTACTTCGATGTTCGAGTTTATCCTCCTGCCTGCTGGCGTTGGTCGTGGTCGCAACGCGGAAGAAGTCAACCGTTTGGTTGGAAAACAGGGTTGTAGGTTGACTTTCTCTTCGACGACCGCCGCCAGCTAGGACGCGGTGGCGGCTGTCACCGGGAGGCCGAGACAATAACGGGCGGCGCGAGGCGGAGACCACGAGGCCGTGCTCGGACGGCTTTTGGGATGGCTTGTCGGCATTAAATGTCCTGCCCGGCCCGGCCTGGCCACAGTACTGGGCCATTTAAATGGGCGGATGACACCTATTATTCAATAATAAATCGGCACGGCCCAATATGTCGTCTGTTCCCAGCCCATCAAAGGCCCACTACTATCTGGCCCAATGGGAGGCAAGTTGGTTGGGCGGACTGGGCTCGGGCCCGATAAAATTCGGGCTTCAGCCCGACTATTTCCCACAGCGGGAGGCCCCCGATATCACGTGAGAAATAGGTCCGACCACGTGGCCCACATGGGCATGGGCTATGCTTGGAGGCTCAGGACTGTTTCACGATTTTAGAGGACATTAATGTAAATATAGTTATACAAGGTATATACGTAATATATAAAATTACATTTGTATAGTTTCATAAAAAGCCAAACCTTTATATGTGAACATGCTTCTATCATCTTCAAAACGCGCGGCGGCGGCGGTGGCGGCGATCGAGCGGAGCGTTTTAGGGTTTGTCCTTCGGTCATTTCGGTTCCCGGCTTCTGACTCCATCGGGGAAAATGGTGATTCTCTTCAGTCTCTTCGCTGCCTTCGATTCTCTGGTGCCTCCGGCTGCTGATATCTGAGGAGTTCCCTTCCCTCGTCGTTTATGTTCTCTCGACTCGCGCTTTATTAGAGTACTCATGGGCGTCCCTTGGGTGCTACAGCCATCGCACAAGAGCTTCATGATCAAGAAGAAGCTGGCGAAGAAGATGAGGCAGAACAGGCCCATCCCTTACTGGATCCGCATGAGGACGGACAACACCATCCGCTACAACGCCAAGAGGAGGCACTGGCGCCGCACCAAGCTTGGGTTCTAAATATGCCCCCGTTCTACTGTGTACTCCTGTCTCTGATCTCTTATTCACGGTACTTGTGTCATCTTGAGACTCGCACGATCGGGAGACCGTGATTTTGATTTCATTTTGTCTTTGATTCGGATCATCCGCTCTACACTCCGGTTGGTTAACTTAGTTGGATCTATAATCTCTTTGAATGTGCTTGCATTGCTATTAATCAGTTGGTGATTTCCGCTGAACTTTGCTTGTTAATTCCTTCATTCTCTATCTGTTGATTACTATCAATGCATCTCATCCTGGAATCGAACGCTCTGCGGTAGCAATTTGAGCGATTTTATCTGGGATATGTTGTGCGGAATAAATTGCCTGGGCTTTTCTAATGTGGGACAGAAGATTAGAACATAAGCAAACCAGTGTAGATTACTCTATCCTAATGGGAATATCTCTGGCGTAAGCCTGGCAGGAGACTCTGGGGCCTATATTTGCCTATAATATCTTTGCCCAAGTACATTCTATTGCAGTAGCTATCCCTCAGTGCACTCCAAAATTGTCCTGAAATGATTCGTTGTCCTGTTCATCTGTTCTTCTGCATTGCAGTTTCCACCTAGTCACTTCTCGTCCCTTTGGTGGTTCTAACCACGGTAGCTTTGCCTATATTTTGTGTGATGCTCTAAGTGGGTGCCAATCTCATTCTCCTTCATAATCATAGAGCTTGAACCCAGCTCGGCCTTCTGTGATGTTCTAGGAGGAATCTAGCAGTGTGGGGATCATCTCTTTCGGAAGACTCTGGGCCATGGCCGACTCCCACATAGGGTTCATTCTAGGAGTGTGGGGATCATCTGTAGCAGTGGTGTTCGTTCTTGATCTTGGTGGAGCCCATGAAATCAAGGTTTACAGGGTCCTTGTCTGAGTTTTGGGATCCAGATGAGATCACCATTGTTCTGTGGGCAAGCTCCGTTTTCAACCTGAGAAGGTAGTGATAGCTGGGGAATGTTGCCTGTTCTTGTTGTTTAATGGAGATGACAGTGGAAGACCCACTAGTACTCCTCTTACTACTGCTCGTTGGGCTAGGGTTTGAGGCGATCATTATCACCCCCTGATTAATGACTCAATGGTTTTGCATGGGTTTGATGTGGTTGTTCATGTTGAGCTCTTTTGTCGGTGATTTTGATGGCAGGGAGTTTGGGGGATCCCGCAGTCGATTTTTGTGTTGAATTCTACCCACAGCAAGAGTCGGTGATCCCACAGATTCTGGGATCCTATTGCATGGGGTTTCTATGGCTAGTCAGCTCGTGGGTAAGAAAAAGTCAAACTTTATGTTTATGAATGATAGTATTTGTGTGGAATTGCTGATCCGAATACTCTTTGATGCTCTTATGAGGTCACCTGAGAGAGTATGAGTGTTGTAAGGGATGCTGGGGGGAGAGAGAGAGAGAGAGAGTCGGTTGACTTTGATGATTGGTGGAGGCATAGGTTATCATCCAATTTATGAGAGTTAATGATTCAAGGTCTTAGACCTATAAAAAATATTCTTTCTACGAAGATGAGATGAAATGGGCTGACTTTTCCTAGGTAGGTTGGGTATCACAGAGAGAGAGAGAGAGAGAGATAAAATCCAGTATTGGGTTGAGGCGTAATGCATGCTATCGCCGATTGGTGCAAGGGCTACACGCTGATCTGGGTAGAGAGAGAGAGAGAGAGAGAGAGAGAGAGATTAAATCCAGTACTGGGTTGAAGCGTAATACATGCTATCGCTGATTGGTACAAGGGCTACCCGCTGAACTGGATAGAACACTCAACGGAGAGAGAGAGAGAGAGAGAGAGAGAGAGAGAGAGAGAGAGAACTATTTTTTCTACCGACTGATCTCTTTCTAAGCTGAGGGAAGAAGACCCATGAGGGAGAACCCTCTGGACAAGCTGATCGACCACCGTCCTTCCTGAGATTGGGAGCCGACATCAGTCAAACTTGACAGAAGAGAACGGTAATGCACGAACCAGAAGGAGGAGAGCAGCCCGACGGTGCCGGTGGCGAGCATGAGAACGAAGGTCATGAGGAAGTAGTAGCCGAGGAGAAGAGCCACCGATACCGGATCTCTGAGCCTCGTCTGATCGAAAACCATGTAGCTGACGGAACACAGGAAGGTGTACATGTCGATGGAGCCGGAGGAGAAGAAGGCCTTCCACCACCATCTCCATTCCTCCGCGCAAAGGAGAGTGTAGGTGAGCACCATAGAGACCTCTGCGCAGACCACGATGAGGAGGATGGAGAGGATCAGGAGGAACCCGAAGACGTAGTAGACCCGGCCGGACCAGATGCTGGTCATGATGAAGAGCTCGACGAAGTAGGTCACGAAGGGAAGGGTGCCGGCGGCGAAAGCCAGGAGCCATGAATTGTCCTTCTGTGGGGGAACCTCCCGGGGGATCTGGTTCATCCTCACTGGGAACACGACGTGGGGAGCTCTGGACCCGAGGCAGCCGCCGAAGAGGATGAGAGGGACGGAGATGCAGAACCACAGAAGGACGAAGAGGGAGAAGGGGATGGCCCCGGTGTTGTGGCTCCTCCACAGGAGGAAATTCATGGCAGTGAGGATGAGGAAGGCGATTCCGGGGAAGAAGCAGGCGACCCCCCAGGAGATGGAGACCCATCCGGAGCGGTCGCCGGAGCGGAGCGTCTTCCAGAGCCTGGCGGCGGCGTAGCCGGCGGCGATGCCGAGGACCAGGTAGAAGAAGAGCATGCCGGTGATGAGATTTCCTCTTGAGGCCGGCGACATGAATCCCATGGCGGCGAAGATGATGGTCACCAGCGCCGTGCCCAGGATTTGGACTCCGCCGATCATGATGCAGAGAAGTGAAGGGTTGCTGGGGGCCCTGAAGACGTCCCCCACAACGAGCTTGCACCTGAGTGGTCCTCGTTCATCAGGGCCTGCTCCTCCTTGTCGAGCTCCCCGTACTTCACCGTGAGCAGCAGGATCACGAGGATGGCGCCGGCGCAGAAGAGGACGACCACGAGGGCTTTGAGGCTTTGAGGATGGAGAACCAGTGGATCTCGGAGCCCTCCATCTTCAGGTAGGCGTCCCATGGGGACGGCCACCTGATCTCGCTCTCTACGAACTCCACATCGTAGGTGAACACCAGAGACTGGTTCTCCTTTAAAGGCATGGCCACTTTGTTCGGATCACACTGGATCTCCCCCGGGTATGTGTCCTACATCTTCAAGTCCATGACGGCCTCTGGATCGTGCTCAACGTTGCAGGGGACGACCTCGAATCCGGCCACAACGTACCTAGCTGCTCCGCCGTCGCTGTCATCGGCGCCAACCCCCGCCAGAATCGCCCCGCCGGCCTCGCCGACGCCCACGACGTCGGTGATTGAAGAGGTAGTAGTCATTCCCGTCCTGGATTCCGACGGGGTAGCCCGTCCAGTAGGTGGCGAAGCCTTCCAGCTGAGAGTAGCGGATGGCGGGGAGATCGTCGAGGACGAGGTTGGCCTGGTACATCTCGTCGATGTGCTTGCGGAGAAGGGCGAAATCAGAGGAGGAGTGGGCGTCGGCGCTTCAGAGGATGATCTTCGACGCGTTGGTGAGCATCTGGAAGCGATAGGGGCTGTCGTAGATGCCGTCCTCCGGCGTGCAGAAGGGGAGGCTGTAGTACCCTTAGGGCACCTCTGTGAGGACGGAGGTGATGGAGTTCACCTTCGCGGAGAAGGGTTCCCCGGCCTTGTGCCGCTGGGGATAGCCTATTAAGTTACCCTAATAAAGTCTTACCGTTTACCAGAATACATGGTTACTATATATCAACTTTTTATGCTTTAACTTTTCCTCTTCGAATTCAAATTTGATTATAACCATCTTAACTGGATGATGTCAACTTGGCATCTACTTCAACTCCAAATCTTTTGATTTCATGTCACTTTTTTTCTATGTACTTGCATGGTATACTATTTTGGAGATCAATTTTCTAAGCTCGAATATCTAATTTGTTATTTTTTTTCTTGGTAATTTGATTCTCATATGGGAATAATATGAAATAAATAAACACTATAGCACAATGATAATCATCATACATATAATCTATATGAAATATTGTTTTTTTTCCATGTTTTTACTCATGAATCATATACTAAATATCTGTTGACCAATATCATAGGATCCTATATGGCATATATACAAGTTTTCTTAGATCAAGGGGATGTATTGTTCTCTAGATAGGAGTATGGTTGCTACAACCTCTATTTATAAGGGAGAGCTCTCCCATGGCTGTCTCCTGTCTGCTCCCTCTAGATTCTCTCTCAAGAACATAGTTGCCTGACATAGGATAATACCACCTTAATTAGTAGGACCCACCAATGAGGTTAACTACCCAATCTATTAACCTTCACCTCAGCAATGTGGGGTTACGTGGCATTGCGTGTTGTGCTTTGCCACTGCACACCTCCACGTATGTTGCGACGCATGTGTACACCCACAAACAATAGAACTACCCTCATGTAATAATATAATGATGCTCATAAAACCTAATTCCTTGATGCAAAGTGGGTCACATCCTCCTTCGTTCTACGAATCTAATGTCTTCGTTAAACTCTCTCTAATGTCACTTACATTCACATCCGCTTCTTCTCCTTCAACAGGGATAATTTAGGTTCACGTAGCCGGGGTGGTGGGAATTAGAACACCCAATGTCGAGAGAGAGAGAGAGAGAGAGAGAGAGAGAGAACATTATTTTCTTCGACCGGCCGATCTCTTTCTAGGCTGAGGGAAGGAGACTCATGAGGGAGAACAGTATGGCCATGCTGGTCGACCATCGTCTTTCCTGAGATTGGGAGCCGACATCAGTCAAACTTAACCGAGGAGAACAGGTAATGCACGAACCAGAAGGAGGAGAGCAGCCCGACGGTGCCGGTGGCGAGCATGAGAGCGAAGGCCATGAGGAAGGAGTAGCCGAGGAGAAGAGCCACCGATACCGGCTGTCTGAACCTCTTCTGATCGAAAACCAGGTAGCTGACGGAATACAGGAAGGTGTATATGGCAACGGAGCCGGAGGAGAAGAAGGCCTTCCACCACCATCTCCATTCCTCCACGCACAAGTGAGTGTAAGTTAGCACCAGAGAGACCTCCGCGCAGACCACGACGAGGAGAATGAAGACGACCAGGAGGAACCCGAAGACGTAGTAGACCCGGCCGGACCAGATGCTGGTTATGATGAAGAAGAGCTCAACGAAGAGGGTTGCGAAGGGGAGGGTGCCGGCAGCGATGACCAGAATCCAGGGTGGGAACTTCTGGGTTGGGATCTCCCGGGAGATCTGGTTCGTCCTCACTGGGAACACGACGTGGGGAGCTCTGGACCCGAGGCAGCCGCCGAAGAGGATGAGAGGGACGGAGATGCAGAACCACAGAAGGAGGAGAAGGATGAAGAGGGAGAAGGGGATGGCCCCGGTGCTGTGGCTCCCCCACAGGAGGAAATTCATGGCAGTGAGGATGAGGAAGGCGATTCCGGGGAAGAAGCAGGCAACCCCCCAGGAGATGGAGACCCATCCGGAGTGGTCACCGGAGCGGAGCGTCTTCCAGAGCCTGGCGGCGGCGTAGCCGGCGGCGATGCCGAGGAGCAGGTAGAAGAAGAGCATGCCGGTGATGAGGTTTCCTCTCGAGGCCGGCGACATGAATCCCATAGCGGCGAAGATGATGGTCACCAGCGCCATGCCCAGGATCTGGACTCCATCGCCGATCATGATGCAGAGAAGTGAAGGGTTGCTGGGGGCCCTGAAGACGTCCCCCACAACCAGCTTCCACCCTGAGAGCTCCTCGTTCATCAGGGCCTGCTCCTCCTTGTCGAGCTCCCCGTACTTCATCAGATCCCGCCTCACCGTTCTCAGCAGGGTCGCGAGGACGACACCGGCGAGGAAGAGGATGACCACGAGGGCGTTGAGGATGGAGAACCAGTGGACCTTGGCGCCCTCCATCTTCAGGTAGGCGTCCCATCGGGACGGCCACCTGATGTCGCTCTCTACGAACTCCACCTCGTATGTGAACACCAGGGTCTGGTTCTCCTTTAAAGGCATGGCCACTTTGTTCGGATCACACTGTATCTCCCCCGCGTATGTGTCGTACATCTTCAAGCCGTTGACGGCCTCTGGATCGTGCTCAACGTTGCAGGGGACGACCTCGAATCCGACCACGATGTACCCAGCTGCTCCGCCGTCGCCGTCACCGGTGGCAGCCCCAGCCAGAATCGCCCCGCCGGCCTCGCCGACGCCCACGACGTCGGTGGTGGCGGCATTAACCTCGTACTTATGGACAAGAACCCTAAATTTCAGGTGATTGAAGAGGTAGTAGTCCCCGTCGTGGATTCCGATGGGGTAGCCCGTCCAGTGGACGGAAAACCCTTTCAACTGAGCGTAGCGGATGGCGGGGAGATTGTCGAGGATGAGGTTGACCTGGTATACCTCGTCGATGCGCTTGCAGAGAAGGTCGAAATTAGAGGAGGAGAGGGCGTCGGTCGAGCAGAGGATGATCTTCGAGGCGTTGGTGAGCATCTGGAAGCGGTATGGGGAGTTCTCGATGCGGTCTCCCATGAGGAGCTCTCCGAGGTTCCCGGCCTTGTCGTAGATGCCGTCCTCCGGCTGGCAGAAGGGGAGGCTGTAGTACCCGTAGGGCACCTCGGTGACGACGGAGGTGATGGAGTTCACCTTCGCATAGAAGGATTCCCCGACCTTGTGCCGCTGGGGATAGCTCCCGGGGAGGTAGAAACCATGGCCGCCGCCGCTCTGCAGCACCGTCAGCAGGGAGAGCGCCGCCCAGACCCTCAGCCGCCGGGAAGGCTCCGCCATCTCCCTTCCCACCTCTGCCGCCGGACGGAAGGGATTTCAGTCTCTGATCGAACTCCGGAGGAAGAAGATGCCCCCCCAGCTTCTCTCTCTCTCTCTCTCTCTCTCTCTCTCTCTCTCTCTGTTTCTCTCTCTTTGGACCAGAGGGCGATTAAGATGGGCTGGGAGCTGACGTGAGGCCCAGTAAAGAAGGGTATTATGAGCCATACTGTACAGATCGCGGGTAGCGTCCCTCGGCGGGCAAGGGCGGGGAACCCAACGGCATCATCTCGTATCTCTCCGCTGAGCGTTGACTTCGTTGCATTGTTCTTAAATGGGTGGCCTCTTCTTCTCCCCTAATGCCGTCCGGGTTCCGTTTTTGACGGGGATGATCTCGGCCCACACGTATAGGTCTGAAAAGCATGACAAGGCGGTGGGATATGGGCCAGGAAGGCCCATTAACACAAGCATTGTTGGGCTAATATTTAGCATCTGCCCAAATAGCAGGTCGATAAGGGTGGTGATCCCTTGGGAGTCATGTCATGAGATCAAGTATCTGAGTGGATCTTCTCTCCTCATGTTGCTTTCTACAATAAGTAAGTTATGAAACTAAGGAAACATCTTGACTTGAGCTCACATGAGGAAATCCATACCTAATATGGCATCAAAATCATCACATCTCATCATACTATGAGCTCTAGCATGACTTTACGTAAATGACGGCATTGATTTAGCCATCACCTCATGATAGATGATAGCATTAGGCTCAATTTGGGTTCTTCTTTTTAAGAGAGAAATGTGTGGATACTATCGGTCAACACCATTGTTGATCAACTAATGAAATAGACTTTAAGGTAGATCAATGCCCATCTTCTTGGCGTCTACATGCAATTTCAAGGCCTCTGATAGTTTAAGGGGATTCAATGTGGGGTTGCTATTCTATGTTGGCACCTCCTATGTTGTTGATGTGCTAAGTGATCTTCTACATGTGCAGGACATGCAACTCTCTATTGGATGTAGCCCTTGAGAGATAAAATATTCTTTCTTAGGTAGATTGTCATATCGTATCGATGTGGTTGACTTGGGCCCTCCCTAACCCTTGTTGCATTTTTGCCCATAGTAGCTCCTCTGATTCTCACCCCATTTGTTATTGTTGTTGTGTTAATGTTTAATTTCTGTATAATACTAATAATACTAATAAAATAATAGTAAATAACGTATTAAATAAGGTCAAATATAATGAACTGAATGGAAAACATTGAATGGAATTTAGAACACGTTTCATGAATTCTTGTTTAAACCCTCACATTATTTTTGAGAAATGACCATTTGATGATTTAACTTAGATGGCAACATGACTGTCCTGGGCTTACATCCTTGAGAAATATTTTTTAATTGATAGAAAAATACTGATCAATTAGATTTAGGGAAAACATAATTTTCCTTGGACTTGTGTGAATTTTTGGAGGGTGGTGAGAGATGTTAATGGGCCATTGATATTGGCCCAGTATGAAAGCCCATCGTCGATACTTGAGAGAAAGGGAAGATAGAGAGAGAGAGAGAGAGAGAGAGAGAGAGAAAGAGAGAGAGAGAGAGAGAGAGAAAAGGGCGATGACCCCGACTGGGAGAAGGTAGGGGAGGGGACAGCAACGACAGTGGCAGTGACGGACGGGCAGAGGTGAGCACAGCGGCGACATGTCGGTAGCACAACGATGGACGGGCTTCCCTTTGGGTGACCGGCGGAGTTGTGGACAGCAGCAGCCGCGGTGGACGAAGCACGTCCATGGCGGACTGAGCATGACGTCGAAGCTCCCCCATCTCTAGACTTCACGACCAGTCTGCAGCAGTTGGTCTTCCTCTAGGTGACAAACGGAGACGACAACGGCAGCGGTGTGAAGGGAGAATTTTCCTCTTGATTTTCATTCCAACTGCATATTATTTCTGTTTAAGCTAGTCTGGTTGTGTGGTCGACGGGCACACAATGTGCTTTCAATTTCGTATTTTAGTTTATTTTCTTGTTATAGAAGTGATCCCTGAAATTTTTACCCCCAAATTGGAATACTTTTTTTGTGCATTCTCTCATTTCCTCCTCTTTCCGCTTTCAGTAAACATTTCGATGCTGCTGCCTTCTTGATAATGATGTAGCGACAAATACTAGGAATGATAGAAAACCATTTTTCGTTGTTTCTTTTGTCTCTTTTAATTCAATAAGTGTTTGAGAAAATAATTTCAAATCAGAAATTGATAGTCATCTCTGAGAATTGACCAAAACCACTTGAAGTTTAAAGCTAATTTCTCTTATTTGAGTTCAAATATAAATGTAAATTTGATGTTTCTTAATTTGACGACTAGGAAAAAAATATAGTTGCCCCCACACTATTGATGCCCTTTGTTTTGATAATTACAAGTTAAATTTATTGATATTAATTTATTAAATATGAATATTTACTGAAATATGTCTCAAATATTTAATATGTGCAATATAGTTATTATATGAATTATTTGTATTCATTTAACTATTATATCACTAAAAATTGAATCTAATGTACCAATCCCTAAGATTAAGTGATTTTTCGTGTAAAGAGATATATGATCAACAAAGAATATTAGTTGAAGAATCATCATTCAAATAAAAGGATAAGTATATGCTGAAATTGGTATAAATAATTCATGATAATTATCTTATCTATTGATTATATATTTCTAATCATATATACAGTATGTAGTACGTTGAAATGATGATAGATAAGTTCTTTGAAATCTCTTGTGCACTATTATGTCTAAATTTTGTCTATTAAAAATAAATATTTTTTAAAAAAAAATCTATAAACTAAATTCTAAGAGAATTATTGTTTAGTGGAATTAGGCCATTTCCACAGGGAGAGTAAAACAATAAGGGAGATAATTTTTCTATGTTTTTGATTGATCCAATAACTTTGCTAAAGCTAATGACAACACTTGTACAGATTTCTATTGAAAATCACTTCCCTTCCCCTAATCTTTGTGACACCCAAAGATCAATGGAAGAGAGAGTGACTACAAGCCTGCCATTCTCATTCCATAGGACCGGTGAACAAGTATAGGACTCTCGGTTTGGCTCTTTCGGTAGGGTCTTTACGTTTATAGGGGACTGAACGTCGACTGACACGTGTAGTAAGTAGTAGCTTGTTCATCAATTCACTGCCTAATTGTTCCGAAACAGAAGGGTTTTTGTTTGTCTACTGTGTCACCCAATAGGGAATGAACACAAGAGAGAGCTCGCTGTTGCGTCGCCGCTGCCTGCTATCGCCGTCGTGCCGCCTGCTGCCGTCATTCTGCTTTGTCACCCAGCAAAGTGCGAAGAGGGGAGAGCTCCGTGCCCTAGCTCCAGCCACCGCCACCCCCCCCCCCTCTTTCTCTCTCTCTCTCTTCTTCCTTTTTATCCCCTATGTGTGCCTCCTATTGGGCTGAGCATAGGCAAATCCGATATCAGCACAATTCTCTCTCCTATATAGTCAGCCATCTTCTCAATACATAAACCCCTTGAACCACGGCCTAAGATATTGTCTAAAAAATCAAATATTGAGGTGTTCAAACAAAAAAATCACAAAGAGTTAATTTAACATATATTATGCAACATGAGTAACATAAAACAATGATTTATGGTATGAAAATACAACGTTAGCATGCATCAAATCATCACAAGAGTTAGAATATGAAAGAGATATCCAAACTTTGAACATAACATCTTGACAACAACATGTCAAATGCTTACATGGATAAAAAATCAAAGTAAATATGATGATTAGGATCCAACCTAGACATTCAATTATTCTGTGTCAAGTTAGGAAACATTAGTTCAAATTTGAACAAAAAAGGATGAAGGAAAATAAGGAGATTCAAGGTTTAAAATGTTCAAAGGTTGTAATTGCACATTATGAATAATCGAGCATTATAAATCTTGTAAAATCAGAAATTTGTTAGAGAAAAGAGGCTTTCTTATCAAAAAAAATACTTGAGGATCAAAAGTGGTTGAATATACAAAGATTTAAGCAAGAACATTATGCTCTTCCTACTTCATGGATCACTAACACATGAAAATGCAGTACCATCTTCTCTAGGTAATTTCTGCAAAACATCAACTCTATCTTCTCTACTCTAGTTCTCCATCAGCCTCTAAGGTAACTGGGTGGTGAGTGGAGTGTTTTGGAAGAAAGCATGAAGTGTTGGCAGCTAGATTTTACATGAGAAGTACTGAGTCTCTAATGAGACAAACTTGAAGTATTTTGATGGTTGATCTTGTGAAAATTAATATGTAATTCCTAAGGAGATTAGTGAATACTGGATGGACGTTCTCTCTAAGATTGGACGTAGCTAAGTGAGGGTGAACTAGTGTAAAACTATTTATGTTCTTAGTGAGAGAGTGTTGAGAGCACATGTGTGTTGATACATCCAACAACATTTATACATAGCTATATGTTAAATTAAAAAAATGTTATATATTCTAAGGACCTTAATTCACCCCCCCCTCTTGGTGTTTCACCTAACATATAGTTCTAACACACAATAGTAGTTATGTTTGAAATTTTCATATCCTTGTCATAGTTCTACCAATATATCTAGCACTGCTACAATTGACTACACATTATAGGCTCCTTACTACCATTTGTGCTTAACCTTGTAGTTCTACTGTAAAATTAAATAATTTCTATTTTTCTAATATAGTTTTGAAGTCAAAACGTGAGGTGAATTATTTTAGCATTTCTTCCATCCAAAGAGACCCCTGAAATAAATGAAATTTATTTAAGAACAAGGATCCAAGCATTTATTAGATTTATGTTCCTAATTGAATCAAGTATGCATTTATGAACCTAAATTCGTTTAATTCTTCTATGTTTAATAGATTTATCTGTGTGTTTTGATGTTAAACCTTAGTTGATGGTCTACTATGTGATCTAATGTTTTCAAATACAATTTTTCTTGAAAAACTAAGTATGGTGATTTTATTTTTGGGGTTAAAAAATTCTATATTTTTGTTGAGAGAG